TGTGTTTGGGCATGCTGTTAGCAAGGCTACAGCTCGAGGACAGTTTTCTTGTGGCAAACGATCTACGGCGTGCGTTCCGAGTTCAGGCTCGCTGTCCAGGCCCACCTCAATGAGCGCGCATGGGACTCCCTAACTCGAACTATGCACATGAGCTCCAACGTCACACATCTGCTCCAAGCTCATGTTGAAGAGCTACAACTTGCATGCCCTTGGCATCGTGGAAACGATCCCATGCAGCTGCGGGCAGCTCCTGAACTGCTCTTGCGGCTTCTTCCAGCTCGAGTTTCCGATTCGAATGTGGTGGCATGGCCTTCATGTCGCCTCTGGCGGGCTCCAAAAAGGAATTCCAAGCGAGATGTATTTATTCCCTGGCTTTCTAGGTCTCCAATGTGAAAGCCTTGAAACCTTTCGCCGTCATTGATGGGTGATGTTGGGCAGACCGGTGCAACAAATGCACATCATCTCCAGCTTTGCAGCACAAAAGATTACGCATTTTGCACTCGTTTCCGATCTTTGCTTTGTTTGAACTGGATGTATTGCAGCTAACGAACGCCAACACACACCGACAGCCTCCAAACCGATACACCACAGCATGCGATCGAAGCCAATTCTCTCCCTGAACGTCTGAAAGTCAGCTCGAACTCAATCAGCTACTCCCAACATCTCCCAACCAATATGCAGGTCTTGGATGTCTGGCGGCTGCTGCTGCGTTTGCCGCGCTCCTCATCTCGAGCACACAACCAACTCTGTGGAGTCACTCGACTCAACAGACATCAATGAACTCTCTTTGCTTTTCTAAATGGGTTCACGGGCTTTGAAACTTCACACACTCGCACACCACGCCATCACACCGCACGCGCCTCCGTCCACTGTCACAGTATCAGTCTTGCATCTGTGCCGTGTACCATCGCGGTGGTGCCAACGCATAGAATCTGCGTGTTGCATCTACTGTTTGGCCGTGACAGACCTGCAGGAGAAGAAAGCTTTGACAGCTACTGACTCAAGCTGTTTGTGTTTGGGCATGCTGCTAGCAAGGCTACAGCTCGAGGACAGTTTTCTTGTTGCAAACGATCTGCGGCGTGCGTTCCGAGTTCAGGCTCGCTGTCCAGGCCCACCTCAATGAGCGCGCATGGGACTCCCTAACTCGAACTATGCACATGAGCTCCAACGTCACACATCTGCTCCAAGCTCATGTTGAAGAGCTACAACTTGCATGCCCATGGCATCGTGGAAACGATCCCATGCAGCTGCGGGCAGCTCCTGAACTGCTCTTGCGGCTTCTTCCAGCTCGAGTTTCCGATTCGAATATGGTGGCATGGCCTTCATGTCGCCTCTGGCGGGTTCCAAAAAGGAATTCCAAGCGAGATGTGTTTGTTCCCTGGCTTTGTAGGTCTCCAATGTGAAAGCCTTGAAACCTTTCTCCGTCATTCAAGGCTCCATGCTACGTGATGAGTGATGTTGGGCAGACCGGCGCAACAAATGCACATCATCTCCAGCTTTGCAGCACAAAAGATTATGCCTTTTGCATGCGTTTCCGATCTTTGCTTTGTTTGAACTGGATGTATTGCAGCTAACGAATGCCAACACTCATCGACAAGCCTCCAAACCGATATACCACAGTATGCGATCGAAGCCAATTCTCTCCCTAACGTCTGAAAGTCAGCTCGAACTCAATCAGCTAATCCCAACCCATATGCAGCTCTTGGATGTCTGGCGGCTGCTGCCGCGTTTGCTGCTCCTCATCTCGAGCACACAACCAACTCTGTGGACTCAACAGACTCTCTTTGCTTTTCTAAACGGGTTCACGGGCTTTGAAACTTCATTGTTCTACTCGTCATCACAAGGCAGACAAGCTGCCCACGCTCGGACAACTCTTCATGGTGTGGACCAGTGATGCAGCGCAACGCCATCGTGTAGGCCGTGCAGCTGCGGCGATCGTGGCCGTGCGTCCTACCACATCAATTGAAATGGTCTCTTGCGTGGTCAGAAGACGCGCTGCCCTGACCCAGTGTTCCTGCAGCATCTTGCCGTCAAGAAAAAACGACACGTATGTTGCCCAGTCAAACTCTCTCTAGTCTCTCTTCGCGTTGCCGCCTTACGTCTCTCAGTTTGCGTCTGCTTCTCTCTCTCCCCCCCTCTCTCTCCCGCTCTCTCTGCCTCCTTGCAAGCATTCATGGCACTGTTGTAGCTGCACGCATCAGGGCATTTCCGGGCAGGCTGCATCTCATACGGCCGGCACATCGCCGATTCCCGCGTGCATCCAACTCGAAGTGGCGTCGGCACAGGCAAAATAGTATCAGCATCTGCTCTGCACTTCGGAAGGCCGGAGTCTGACCTCATAAAACACAATGGAGCACAGGTAAGCTTGATCAGTGCGCAATTTTCTTTCTCCTTTGGATTTTGCGATCACGGCGATTGAGATACAACATGCAAGGCAAAATGCTTGGCGGCAAAGCCAGGTCTGAGATTGCTTAACAATCCGAGACCCTAGTCACTGAGACTTGGCTCTGCAGGGCTCTGCAGCCAGCAGCACCTCATGTAGGCCTGAACTGAATGGGGTGTGCTAGGGGACTTGAATGGAATGGTGCACGTGGTTCAGTATTGGCACAATGAACACCAAATGCATGTGCCGGTGCTCGGAGCTGCTAAGGCATCCTTGCTTGGAACGTTGCTGCTACTCACTCTGTGTCCGCAAACTTTTGGAAGTTTCCCTGGTAGCTGGTTTGAAAGTGTTGGGGATTTTGATGGCTCTGAGCATACCCGTTGCTCTGAGCATATCCAGCACTAGGGGCAACCACCATGGGTGGAATCTGCTGAGGAATTGACATGTCCCCTGCACGACCATCCTCATGCAAGTAGGCTCGTGCTTCTTCACGCCCCCTTGCCCTGCCTTCCTTCCTCCTTTCATTCCGAACTTGGTACGCCTGCCACTCTTTCCAGAACCACACACCATACTTTTTTGGGTAGCGAACGGCCAGGAACAAGTAGAGGCCACACAGGCCAAGCATTGTCAAGGGCACGGTAATTGCGGCAATCGGCTGCCAGTGGCAAGACCACCAATCCGCACCGGGCTCCTCCTCACCACGGAAATGGCGAAGGTTTGCCTCATTCATTCGTACAACGACCTGTGCTACGCTGCTTCTCTCCCCCACCTCAGGGTAGTCGACATAGATGCTCTGGACAGCATGTCCATTTTGCAGAAGCTTCTGGTGCACCACTTCAATGGGCGACCTGTATCCCAAACATCCGCAGGCATGTTCTGGGCATGCCTCTCCTGTGGAGAACTCATGTGCATGCGTGTCGTCCTGCATCAGGTCTGTGTGGAACCCGGTCGCCATCTGCTTGACACAGTCCAGCCTCAGCTCGTCCTTGATTCGAACGAGCGCAGCTGCCTTGCAAATCGGGTCGGGGCAGGCCTTGTACAAGCTGAAGTCTGGTATCTTGGCTGAACCGAATATTTGGAACAAGAACAACGTGTTGGGCGTCATCGGCTTGTTGCCCTCGCCATAGGCCACTAAGTCATCCAGCAGCTTTTGAGAGGTGGCCCCTGGATGGACATCTCCATATGTGCTGTAGAAGAGGCTCCGCCAATCTCGCTGAAAAATGACTGCGCGTAGGTTGTTATTCACGAGAGCACCCATTGTGACATTATCGTTGGGCCGGCCAACCAGCACAGCACATGACACCTCAAACTGGGGGCTAGGCTCCGAATCAGTACGCAGTTCAAGATGTTCAAGGAGTTCTACATGGCGCAACCACAACATGAACACGAAACTCTAAGCTGCAAACCCCAAAAACGTCCAAAATCCGAAACCTTGCCCGAGTGAGAGCTTGGCACCTGGCTGCGCCGGGACCAAGTTGATACATCTGTCGCTTCACCTATTTCCAGGCAAGGACCTCCAAACTGGCTTCCCATCAGATCGAGCCAGCGCTGGTTTCCATCCGAGCCTGTATGCATGTCATCGGGTGCCACGGCGATGAGCTCACGCTGGTTGATGGTCAACCACTTCTGCATGCCATCCACGTCATCCGCGAAGTTGCCTCCCCAAGCCCTTGCGCCCTGTTGCCCGTGGCAATTGAATAGGGCTGACGTATTTGGACGATCACAAAGATCTACCATGAAGCTGCGGATGCCGACATTCAGTTGCTGCACGGGAGACAAGTCATGGTTTTCAAAAAAGCACCTTAGCACTTCGTTGACGTCCACACCAGGTATGTCGTCCGGAATGATCTCTGGGATGTCCAAGTTGTATGAATTGGAGTTGTGCGTTCCAGGAAAGGTGTATTTGGACAAGGGAAGGTCGCAGAAGGCATCTGCGCCGTTGCAGCCCAAGATTGGCCTAAGCACAGACAGCGCCAGCACGAGACGCAAGAGACGCACCAGGCCAAGCATCGGGCTTGCCGGCGAGTGACGGCTAGTGAAGCCAGTGTGGAACCTAAAGCACACCTAACTGGGCATCACAGCATATGGCCTGCGGACATTCCACGCAAGGAAGTCGTGTATGGCAAGTGTAGACAAAACCTCAAGACCAAAACGAATCACCTTTGCATGGAAGACTTCCAACACCCCTGCCAAAAGAGGTCGCAGTGAGCTAATTAGCTAATTGTTAGTATCTTTGGTTCTGCGAAACGGCTTCTTACGGAAAAGTTGCGCAAGCATTGGCATTCGTGCTCAGGACAAGCAGCTGTTTTGCCGCTCTGCATGCATCCAAGCAGTGTTACTGAAAGAAGAGGGCCTTGCTCAGTGAGAAACCCAAGTCTGGGACCGTGCGCTGTAGACGACTATGACGCCACAAGACCGTTCTTCCCTTCCTTGCAGCCTCCAAACAAGGACAAGCAGGAGTCTTGGACTCATGCTTGTGGCCCAGAAACCCTCAAATCTCTTTAACTGGTAGTACTACATTTGCCTCATAACTTATAACAGGTTTTGTCGGAGCTGGGAGTCAAGGGTTGTCTCCCGAAGTGCATCCCGAAGGAACCCCTGCACATCCTACCACGATGTTGCCACCAACACTCCTGAACCCCATAGCTGGTCAATTCCAACCTGCACACAGTGCCCGGGGTTGCAGTCAGCTCATGACGGCCCGCACCTTGGTTCTTTCAGCTTTTTGCCGCAGCACAGGGGCGTAAAAAAGGTCTAAGCATGCACTCCACTGCCTCATGCACACACTTGCCCACAAACCCACACAGACACTCGGACACAAGACAGAACAAAGACAGACACGAAGCCGGACTCAAAGACACACAAAGAGACGCAAAGACACACAAAGACACACACACACACTCACACTCACAGAGACAGACAAAAACAGACAGACAGGCAGGCAGAGAGAGAGAGCCACACACACACACACACACACCAAATGGTACAAAGGCCAGGGTCGGTTTATGCTCTTGAAGGCATGCTTTAGACTCCTTGATGTTATATCCGTGAGCTATATTATTAATATCCATGAGATCTAAACATGGGGCCAAAGTATCTAAATCTGTGTGGCATCCCCACTTCAACGAGAGGCTTATCGCGACAGCCGCTGCTGATGCTGACCACTGCTGCCCTTGGCAGAAGGGTGCTCCACTCCCTGCCAAGACACAAGGCAACGGGTCTAGGTTTTCTTGCCATCTTGTTGACGTTCTTTGGCCAAACGCGGTGGAGTGCGCAGCAGAGCAACAAGCGTTTAAGTGTCACTCTTGCCACTTGCGGACGTTCTGAGGTTTCGGCTTCGGGGGTTGATGGTTCAAGGCTTTCAGATCAGGGAACCCTGCACCCTTCTGCGCCGATCGATTTTGGGCTAGGAATTTGGTCGGTAGCCCTCGGTTAAGACAAGCAAGAAAAGGACAGAAAAGGCTACGTTCCTCGTGGGAGGGCTTGGCCACAAACACAAGAAACCTTAAGAGGTGCTGTCGTCGTGCAGCCACCTCTGCGACTCTGTGATGCTGGGCAGTGTACAAACATTCCTTTTCCCGGGCTGCTATCAGACTGTGGCCTAATTAGAACCCAGAGCTGTGGATCCCGTCTCAACCAAGAAACGCACTAGATGCCCGAATCCGAAGTCCGACACCTAAAACCCCACAAGAGCCACTGCCTTCAGGGGATCCAGATCCCGCTGCCCCTCGCACGCCCGTCCTGCCACAGCTTTTTGGCCTTTTACAGGAGCCTTTGCGTCGCCCAGGATATTTGTCAGGAATGTCGAGGTAGCTAGCATCATCGTTACGTCTGTTTGTTGAACCTACCCTTGGGATGATATGTTTATTCGGCTATATGCAAACAAATCCGGATGAATAAAACAAAACAATGCGAAGACTGCAATTGATGATCTTGCAGAATTGAAAGAAAACAGCACTGGTAGCACAACAAGGCCTACGACATCAAACATGTGTACACTTGCAATGCAGGCACATTGTGGTCTAACAGTGCAACGTGCAGGGTCATCGACAATGTGCAAAGCATCGTTACGTTAATTATTAATTGAACGACGATGTAGCAGACCAAAAACATCTCTAGACTCCCTCAACCCACCAGTCAGATGTCCTGCCAGTCTCTCGAAGAGTCTCAGAGCAAACTCTTCGAAGGGCACACAGCCCTTGGATCATTCGATCGGGGCAATACAGCCAACATCAGCCAACTCAAGGCCCACGTCGCCCCCAACAAACATCACCTGCTACTGCAAGATCCAGAAGGTCTACTTGAAAGTTTGTGGACACCAGCTAAAACTTTAAGCCTTCCGTGGGTTCTCGTGGGGCTCTTTGAAAACGGGAGTTGGAACCCTTGGAACCCAAACTTTCTTCAGGCACGGGACTGGTCTGAGGCCGGTGCAAACAGGAAGGGTAATAGTGACTAATTAGTGAGAACGAGACAGATCGACTGTAAAGTTTTCTGGGCTGCCCAGTCGGGTCGACATCGGCAGTCTTGGGACCGTTTTGGGGCTTTGGGAAGCGCGACGCGATGACGGCACGCTTGACTCAGACTCCGCCAGACTGTTTGCGCGCGGAGTCCCATACAGCAAGCTTGAAGTTTGCGTGTGCAAATGCAGGAGGCGCAAAGATTGCCGCAAAAGAGTGTGCGCCAGAGTCATAACGCCCTTAGGCAGGGTCACCGGACATGGTGGTGGATGCTGCAAAGCAGGGCGATCAATGGGCTGCCTCGAGCAAAGTCTGATTGCTCTGACTGACGTTGCTTCACATTTCACTCTTGTGCCTTTGCACAATACCCGTTTCCCAGATTGATGCGGCGAGGGTGGCGGGGAACCGACCTCAAGCCGAGGCCGAAACAGCGAAGCTGCACCGTCGTAGCCGACATACTTCGAGGCTCCTGCCCAGCTTGAAAAAGGTGTTCAGACGATGCCGGGCTGCTGGGTGAACTCCTGCAGATAAACGGAGTCTCGCAGATAGCCCACGACTTGGAATCACAGGTGTGGCCACGCCGCCAGCTGCACGTGAGTAGCGTCATGTGGCGGGCGTCTGTGCCTGGCGGGGACAATCGGTACGACGGGCGGGCGTCGAAAGGTGTGGACGATGAGGGGCGGAGGAGTTGCCGAGGCTGGCAACTAGACCAACTTCGCAACTTGGAGGCTGGCGGCGCAGTAGTCTGCGGCGGCTCGCCAGATGGGCGTGTCGCGTTGCAGTCCCTGCCTCCTCAGTCACGCAATAGCTGCGTGCTTGAGCAAGGTCAGCGGGCGAGCCTGGACAGGCATCCATGTCCCAAAGCCTCTTTTCCAAGGAAGCCTCTTTATTGGTTCCACGTCTCCACACGCCTGTTTTAGACGGCAGTGCCTCTTAGTCTAAGTCAACGAGCCTGGAATCGCGCATGCAGCCCGCATGGTAGCTGCTTCAGCATTTGGCATCACTCCTGTTGCAGCACACAGCACGCGCAGAGGAAGACACACGTCACTCAGCAGGAGCAAAAGTGGTGAGTGTAGACGGCGAGCCCGGGCAGGTTGCATCACGCAGTCCCTGTGTGGAGCTGCTTCAAGGCACCCTGAGGCGGAGGAGGATAGGGAAGTAGACATCCTCAATGTGGCTTGGCAATGCGCTCGGCAATGCGTCTTCGCCTCTTAATTCGGCTTCGCAAGGCGTCTTCGCCCCCTAAGTTGGCTTCGCCATGCGTCTTCGCCTCCTAATGTGGCTTCCCCTCCCAATGCGTCCTCGCCCAATGCGGCTTCGCCTAATTCGGTTTCGGCTTCGCAAACCGGCTCCGGCTTCAGGATGCTTCAGGTCGATTCAACCCCCCACCCCCGGCCGCAATGGAAAGAAAAGCCTGCTCGGGAGACACAACTGGACTAACAATGCCTTCACCTGGATCACGCTTCCACAGAGTTTCTCATGCGGTTTTGCTGCCACCGGTCTTGTGCGAAGAGATCAATTTTGATTGCGCCGTCTCGGAACATTGTTTGGCTGTTTGCCGACCAACCTTGCACGAAACCAACGACCCCAACTTGCCAAAGTATATATATATATACACTTTTTGGGCGCTTCTCGAGCCCTCGGATCTTCAGATCAATCTGACACACAGACACACTCACACACACAGTCACACACTCACACACACAGTCACACACACACACACGTTGACTTGTCTGGAACTGATGAGACGGACACTCGACTGGACAACATCAAGCATCACAGAACCCTCAAAAGCATCTTGCAACTTTCATGCTGGCCTTGACTGAATCAACGCACTAAATTTGGCTCACCTGTGATGGAAGTCCGTCAATGGACCCAACAACTTTTTGCTGCGCAGCCTCTTCGGTAACTTGGGCTGATGTGTATGACGCTCGGCTTGTGCACAGCTGTGGGCCGAGGCAAAGGCACTGGCCTCGAAAGTGACATGGTCCGGTAACTTGCAAAGATTCTGAAGTCGAAACTCCTGACTGACCGGATTGCTGCAGGCACAACACACGCAGACACTTCCTTGCTCGATGTCTCGAGCTGCATTTGTCACGGCAATCTGTCAATTGCTCTCCAACAGATGGTTCATTCGGAATTGCACATCGAGGATGTTCAATAGATTCAACAATGCAAAGCATACACGATGGATGATGTCACAAATCTGTATTGAGCAGGTACACCGGAGCGGCCAACTCCGGCTTCCCACATCACTGGTAGCTTCGTTGGACACAGCATGAAATTGAGAAAGGGAGTGACCCCAATCCTGCATGTACAGCAGGTTGCACACACACACACAACTGCACGTCACCCCAACATGCTGACACCAGCTCGTTACATGGAGCCTTACCCAAAGGGCGATTGTGGGAAGCGGGAAGCCCGCCTGGAAGGCTGCAAATTACAGCTCCCCCCCCCCTCACCGCAAGCATGCTTAATGAATAGTTCAGCATGCATTGACCCTCAGCAGGCAATGGACCCTCGAACGTGATCAGGGCCCGAAACTCTGAGCCAATAAGCTCTCCAAGCTCATGCTCCGAAAGTCGCCGAGAGGCGGATTGCTTTCCATACTTGGTGTGCCTGATCTCCTCCAAACTTTCTCGTAGGTCATCAACTTTGAAGGCCTTGTGCAGAAGTTCGGGATTTGGGTTTTTGCTTTTGGCGATCGCAACATTCAGGACTTGGGCGCCTTTGTGCTTGAATCCACCACCTTCAGCAGAGACTGCCCATCCTGCTGACATGCATGATTGCATTTGTCACACTTGATCATGAGTAACCACTGCTGTCGGTCCTTGCTTTTGCCACCCAGCCTGGGGAGTGAACAGGCACAGTGGAAGAACCTTTCACCCCAAACTGGCCCCAAACCCTAACCCTGAAGCTCTACAACCACATCGAAGCGGCATACTTGTGCAAGAAGATTGCCAGAACACGTCAGGAGCTGTGCGAACGACCATCTTCAACGGAAAGTGCCGCATTGAGGACTAGCATACAACGCACTGTGAACTGTTAATATGTGTTAAGCTCAATCAAAAAAGTAAAAGAGCACATGACATATCACAATTTAAGCAAATAACCCTGCATGCCTTTCCTAGGTTGGCTGGGTTGTTGAGATCCCATACTCCGAAAAGCCGAACATCCAACATCCAAGAAGCCAAAAACCCATTTAGATTTTGGGGCATCTTTACATTCGAGGTTAGCCCTCATGCATTCCTTTTACTTATAATGATTCCGCGCAGTATCACGAATAAGACTGCGGCTTTTCAAATGTACCCCTATCATTTGAAAAATGTCATTTGCTCGGAAATTGAACGCTGGCTGCGTTCAAGAAGATTTTGAATGAGTTTTCTGTGTATGAAACCCCGTAAGAGTCTCAGTTAAACCAAGCGTGTTCATGTGCTGTTGTGTGCAGCCTTTTGTTCATGAGGTTTAACAACAAAAAGTCGGGACTTGCTCATAGGGGCTGCACAATCAATTTTTCAACAAGAACCATTCTGGATCCTAGTCTCTACTGTTTAAGAAACACTATATTCATGAGCGCTTTTGCCTTGCGACACAAGTGATTCAATTTTTCTGCTCGCTAAGTGGCGAAGTCGTTTCATGTTGCTCTACCCACCTTTCAGATTGTATATAGTAGGCCCTACCAGAATCTCATGAACGTCTAACGACTCGAAATGTTCCCAAAGCAAAGAAGGCTTCAAATAGAAACGCTCAGAGCATTAATACCAGTAGGACGTAGGTCCGGCAATACGCAGGGAGGCATTTTCCGGCTAGTGAACTGTCCACCCTGAGTCACCTGAGGGTCAGGGACTTTCCCAAGCGAAGTGTCCAGACTTGTCATGTGTTCCTTCCCGTCTTTTTCTTCTTCTTCTTCTTCTTCTTCTGCTGGGCATATGGGGAGCCCCCACGCGCCGCGCCTGAGGCTAAGTCAGGTGCGTGTGTGAGATTGATGTGAGAGGCTCTGCGTCAGTTGGGCCCTGGTATCTTCTTCTTCTGCTGGGCTTGAGGGAGTGCGGCCGCCCTCCCCCGCGCGCTGGGCGCGCCCGGCTGGTCTCATGTTCCAGTGAGACTTTGCAGACAGAGACCGGAGGCTGCCAGGGGAAGAACTAAACCCCCTAACATATGCATCACTTCTGCCCCTCGTTGCTCTGTCCCGTGACACAGCCGACTTAACCATGTCCCTTCGATCTCCCCCTGGTATGCCCCATTAACTACGATGCCGGCTTCTTCCGATTTGCTACTGCTCCAATGTGGTTCGCCTGTCATGCTAACTAACCGTCTCTGCACCTGGGCCCTGGTCTCTCTCTCTCTCTCTCTCTTCTCTCCCTCTCTCGCTGCCGTGCCATCCCTCCTTCCTTTCTTTGGCATCTTCTATGGAATTATGATAATCTAGCATACAAACTATACGTTTGAAGAGAGGACAGGAGGGTTTTCTTTGGTGAAGTGTCCATCCATTTCTAGGGTGCGCATTTCATGATATATAAGTTTTGATTGAACATGCCAAACTCTTGTATTAGTCTTGCATATGGAGCCTTGTAATCCCATGTAATCCTTAGAAGTGTCCATTTCTGCAAGGAGGAATGATATTTCTTTGCTTGGCAGGAGATGCCTTATCCCTGGCGCAATGTATGTTTTCTCTGAGGCTAATGAGGCTTTAACAGAACCGTAGGGATTTCTTAGAAGTTGTGCGGATTTTGAAGGACCTGAACAATGCTGTGCATAAGAACCATTCTGGATCTTAGCATCTCACCTTTCAGAATCTCAGAACAGCTATGTGTTGCTTTCTTTTAGTGTTGCAGTTTTCTGATCGATGAATCTGATAATGTTGTGCTACCCTCCTTTCGCCAGTGAAGTGTTCATACTTGCAATGTGTTCCTTCCCTCTTTGAAGCTTCTATTGAAGTATGAAACTGGCAAACTGTTTTGGTCGCCATTTGAGACGTCCACCCCCCCTACTCCACCCCCCCAGATGACCAACACTGGGAAAGGCAAGAAACCCTTCCAAAAGCCGAAGTGGACCTGCGACAGACAAAAAATGCAAAAATGAGGAGCCTGGAATTTTCAGAAGTGTAACATAGACTCTGAAATCGAGAAGTGGAGGAACAGCCGTAAATACCGAGACAAAACACGAAAAGGAAAAGACACCGTGTGGCCCAATACGCCACGCCGCATACCAACTACCAGACTACATGTGCGTGCTTTTTGCCGTCCCAACAATCACAAAGAAAGCCAAACCCGGGAGGTTTTCCCAGACTTGCCTCCCTGCACACAAAATGGGTAACATTTTTCGCCCCACCGCCCTACCCCACCCCCCCCCCCCCGCCACACCAAAGATCCAAACCTTCATGGACATTGTTGCCCTGCAGTGTGGCTGGTCTGCTTGGCGGGGGCACAAAAAAGCCTGGATTCTTGACTTGCTTTGGAATTCGGGGATTTCATGGAATCTCGATAGGAACTTGGGCTCTTTAAGAGGAGCGACAAGAGAGGCGGAAAGAAGGGGCCCCTTCACAAAAGACATGCCTCCCTACTTCCAACAAGACATACAGTGCACTAAGGGTACAGCATCTCCTGCCAAGCAAAGAATGCTTTCTCGTTGCAGAAATGGATCCATGAGATGAAGCCCCATAACCCCGAATTCGCGTAACGCCCGAGTTTGGACCCTAAACATGCAGCGTAGTGTGTGGCCAAGTGCACACGGCATACGAAGTAGTTGGGCAAAAGCACAAACTTTGGAAAAAGCTCAGCTCGGGAAAGTCTGTCCATAAGGATTTTTGTTCTTTGTGGCCATTTTTACATTCCAGGTTGATCCAATGGTGAGGGCCAAATATACACATGTATATGGAAGTGGACAAACACAAATCACATAAAGCAAATAAGGCACATGTAAGTCACAAAATGATGGATATTTCAATTCAAATCAAACGGAAAAACTATCATAATAGCGATGATCGTGTTCTCCTCGCCCCTTCTCCCGGCTGCCTGGGAGGGGGTGCCTATGTGTGGAGGTGTAGGGGTTGGTCGGGGTCATCTTCTCCAACCCCTGTGGCGTGGGGTGTTTGGCCTCGGTCTCTTCTGTGCGAGGCTGCCGGACAAAACGCAAGACCATTTCGGTTTAGATCAGGTTTTGACACTCACACTTGCAATTGTTGCTTTGGCCTAAACCCCGTAAAGCTATCTTAAGCATTCCCGGGGGCTAAACAAGTCATTCCCCAAAATCTTGCAGGCAAACAGCCTGTAGGAGCCCACGTGCTCCCACTTGAAGCCTTGGGCTGTGAGCCGGAGCGTTAGCAGGCCGTCTCCTCTCCAGGCACCAGGGACCAACTCACTAAACCATAGTCTCCAGTGACGTAGGGCTCTTGCATCACCAAAGACCATCCGAATGTGACTGGTGCTAGTAGGCTTCGGAACCTTTCAATTTCACGCGAAGCTGAACCCTGGCACCTACTGTCTTCACCACCAGCTGGTTTTCCCCAAGGATGGTGTCTGTCGCGGTCCACGAGTCATGGTTCATGTCCTCAGTGCACAGTCATTGGCGGAGTAGGCCACATGCTGCCTTCTTTCCAGCGTTGAAGTCTAAATCTTGCGCTGCGATTTATCGCCCCAAATTCGAAAACACCCCACTGCAATTGAACGGCGATCGTTTTGTGAGCAGCGGTCAAGATGAAACCTGCTCTTGCCAGGTTTTGAAGCCTGGTGCTTAGGGCATTCTAAGTTCGGGAACGGCTTCGGCACTCACAGCATGCTGGGAGCATAGAGCCCAAGGACTGACCTCTCACCCTTTCCCCCTAAACCCTACCCCACGCCCTACTTCGTCGCCGTTGGTTGAGGCTACAAAGCCCTACCTGGTGGACGCTCCAACCCCCTATAACCAAGTAAACTTCGTAAGCCCTCCTCAGCTTGGTGGCATACTCCTTGACTGTCTCCTTGTGCTCCGCTTGGAGTATGACGCCTGACCTTGTGAACCCTGCTCTCCAACCCTAATACCCTAAACTCTGCCCACGACATTTGCATCTTGAGGGAAAAGCCCAAGAAAATGAAACAGATTTAAACATGCAGTACCAGAAGTATTCATACAACAAGAAAGTGTTGTTCAAGGAGCACCGGGAGGCAGAGTTAGCCCCAGCCGCTCCCATCCCAAGAGCAGCTCCTTTTCGAGATGGAAATGAGGACAGGGTTGGTGACCGCGCTGTGTCGGGTTGACAATTTAAGGTATGTTGGCAGTTCTCAGGACCTTCCGCCTATCTTCCGGCAAATTTTGCAAGTTCTGGTTCACACACACATACACACGCACACACAACGCCGACCCCAGCCTGCAGCTCCAAGTCGTCGCATATTCGGGAGCCTTTGATGACACCTGGATGCTCCCAAGCTGGTCTTGTGGGGTGGCAAATTACGCAGCAGGTTTGCGACAACGCCACTGAATGCCCGGGCCATTGGGGGTAGGGGCAAGATAAGCTTCGTCTTGGAAACGCCTTGGGTGCGGGAACTTCTGTTCGGCTTAGCTTCGGCCTTGTGACTTCTTTCCATGGAAAGGTCCCTATTTCGGGGGATGCAACTATGGGCTTCGTCCTTCCACTGGCGGAAGAGCTCCTTTTATTCTGGATATTGGTGACCGAGGCCGTGACTAAATCCAACAAGCCAGCTTCTACTGTTGAGGCGGCTGCAAGACGTTGATGCACTCCCGAAACATGAGAGAGAAGAGTACAACAGTAGGGTGGACAGGATGAGACAGGCCCAGGAATGGCACGACAAAAGGCCCCAGGCGAGTAGGATGGACAGCCACAACTTCAAGCGGAAAAGCGAGCAGCCGCAGCAGACAAACAGCCTTTAGAACAGCCACGGCCTGGATGAGGCCAGAAACCCTCCCCTCCTCAAAGCCATCGAATTCACAAGCTGTAAATGTCGGATTCAGCTGAGGCGCTCGGGATGCTAAATGGTTCTAACAGCAGCCTGGGGCCTATTTAATTCGGCCTCCTCCCAAGTCGAGCCGCCAAGCCTCGCAAAGCCATACAGCTTCGCCCTGAAGTCTTTCCAGGTCCCCCCCCCCCCCCCCCCCCCAAATAATTTCAATAACAAGGAGGTAACAATCTGTATGCTGGCGCCGCCCCCAAGCCGGCGCGTAGCAGAAGCTGCAGCGCTGCCCATGGCAGTAGACTTCAGGAACTGTTCAAAAACCTAAGGTTCGGGGGGGGAATCTCGCAGCTTCACAGAGTATAGGGCTTCAGCAAGGCATTCTCACGTGAAACTGTGAAGGGAACAGTTAAAATCACCTGCCAGCAAAGTTGTGCCAAATCGTCAGCAATAGCTGAGCTAAAGAATCGTGCTGCTCAGAACGTCTGAAGATGTCTTAGGCGTCTATGAGCTGACTCTTGATAATGCGTGGGTCATTTTGGGTCAGCAAGCATTGAGCGTGTGAAAGATGGTCTGGTTGAGCCGTGCAGGCAGCGGTTTTTGAAACCAGTAGCTTGTGGATTTCAACATGTGCAAGCATTGCAATGCAGACGTCAACTGTATTTGGTCAGTACGCCAGCAATCATTTTGCCCAGCACAAGATTCGACATGGTTCCACGGAGATCAACGGGAAAAAACCAGCAACCCGTCGCTGCTGCTGCAGCTGCTGCCGCTGCTGGGCCATTGCTGTGCAAGCTGACCTCGCCGACCGCAGCTAGACAAAAGCAATTGTAGTGACAAGAGTGATACTTGAATCTGCATCGACCGCCTCTCAACGACTTTAAGCTTGCACAGTGCCATTGCACCAAACGCCATTGCAGCCTCCACAACTGGTCTCGGAAGCACACTCGCTGCCGGGAGCGGCCCTGTGCCCTTCGTACTTCTGCGCCATCTCGCAGACCTTCAAGATTTCTTCCGGGCTTGTGGGGGCAGCACCCAGCTTCTCACCTCCAAGCGTTGGATCGCTTCGCTCGCTTGGGTATGCGCAGAAGCCACTGGCTGCATCCGTCATTGGCCAAGTCTTGGCGGTCTCATTGTCACTCTCCAAAGGATACACCTGGGTCTCATTCTGAGCCTGCACCTGCAACAGTGACTGCACGGTGCCATTGCACCACACGCCATTGCAGCCTCCACAGCTAGTCTCGGAAGCACACTCGCTGCCGGGAGAGGCCCTGTGCCCTTCGTACTTCTGCGCCATCTCGCAGACCTTCAAGATTTCTTCCGGGCTTGTGGGGGCAGCACCCAGCTTCTCACCTCCAAGCGTTGGATCGCTTCGCTCGCTTGGGTATGCGCAGAAGCCACTGGCTGCATCCGTCATTGGCCAAGTCTTGGCGGTCTCATTGTCACTCTCCAAAGGATACACCTGGGTCTCATTCTGAGCCTGCACCTGCAACAGTGACTGCACGGTGCCATTGCACCACACGCCATTGCAGCCTCCACAGCTAGTCTCGGAAGCACACTCGCTGCCGGGAGAGGCCCTGTGCCCTTCGTACTTCTGCGCCATCTCGCAGACCTTCAAGATTTCTTCCGGGCTTGTGGGGGCAGCACCCAGCTTCTCACCTCCAAGCGTTGGATCGCTTCGCTCGCTTGGGTATGCGCAGAAGCCACTGGCTGCATCCGTCATTGGCCAAGTCTTGGCGGTCTCATTGTCACTCTCCAAAGGATACACCTGGGTCTCCTTCTGAGCCTGCGCCTGCAACAGTGACTGCACGGTGCCATTGCACCACACACCATTGCAGCCTCCACAGCTAGTCTCGGAAGCACACTCGCTGCCGGGAGCGGCCCTGTGCCCTTCGTACTTCTGCGCCATCTCGCAGACCTTCAAGATTTCTTCCGGGCTTGTCGGGGCGGCACCCAGCTTCTCACCTCCAAGCGTTGGATCGCTTCGCTCGCTTGGGTATGCGCAGAAGCCACTGGCTGCATCCGTCATTGGCCAAGTCTTGGCGGTCTCATTGTCACTCTCCAAAGGATACACCTGGGTCTCATTCTGAGCCTGCACCTGCAACAGTGACTGCACGGTGCCATTGCACCACACGCCATTGCAGCCTCCACAGCTAGTCTCGGAAGCACACTCACTGCCGGGAGCGGCCCTGTGCCCTTCGTACTTCTGCGCCATCTCGCAGACCTTCAAGATTTCTTCCGGGCTTGTGGGGGCAGCACCCAGCTTCTCACCTCCAAGCGTTGGATCGCTTCGCTCGCTTGGGTATGCGCAGAAGCCACTGGCTGCATCCGTCATTGGCCAAGTCTTGGCGGTCTCATTGTCACTCTCCAAAGGATACACCTGGGTCTCCTTCTGAGCCTGCGCCTGCAACAGTGACTGCACGGTGCCATTGCACCACACACCATTGCAGCCTCCACAGCTAGTCTCGGAAGCACACTCGCTGCCGGGAGCGGCCCTGTGCCCTTCGTACTTCTGCGCCATCTCGCAGACCTTCAAGATTTCTTCCGGGCTTGTCGGGGCGGCACCCAGCTTCTCACCTCCAAGCGTTGGATCGCTTCGCTCGCTTGGGTATGCGCAGAAGCCACTGGCTGCATCCGTCATTGGCCAAGTCTTGGCGGTCTCATTGTCACTCTCCAAAGGATACACCTGGGTCTCATTCTGAGCCTGCACCTGCAACAGTGACTGCACGGTGCCATTGCACCACACGCCATTGCAGCCTCCACAGCTAGTCTCGGAAGCACACTCGCTGCCGGGAGCGGCCCTGTGCCCTTCGTACTTCTGCGCCATCTCGCAGACCTTCAAGATTTCTTCCGGGCTTGTCGGGGCAGCACCCAGCTTCTCACCTCCAAGCGTTGGATCGCTTCGCTCGCTTGGGTATGCGCAGAAGCCACTGGCTGCATCCGTCATTGGCCAAGTCTTGGTGGTCTCATTGTCACTCTCCAATGGATACACCTGGGTCTCATTCTGAGACTGCACCTGCAACAGCGACTGCGTGGCCTCGTCGCACCACACGCCGTTGCATGTTGGGCATGCTTCCGGTGTAGCGCATTCTGTGCCCGGCTCGGAACTATGACCAGGATATTTTCGGGCCATCTGGCATATCTGCAGTTTATCTTCAGGGCTGACGGGGCCAACTCCCAAGGAACCCAACGACGGATCACTACGCGCACTAGGGAAAGCGCAGAATCCATTGGTTGCAGCCGTCATTGGCCAATCCTGCTGCACAGCCGTGTCATTCTCAAGCGGAATGTCCTGCAAGTTTCCTTACTCGCATCCAGTCTGAGAATTAATGCTTTGTTGCATTCTTACTGACATCACATGCTAGAGTGTCCTTTACAGTACTTCGCCTAGCGTGAATCACAGGAGATTCAAATCGGCAGTTTGGCCTTCTGGGCCTGTAGAGGCCTCAGGCTGTAAATGCGCCCCAGATGCCGTGGAGGTGGATCTCGGCATGACTGCGCTGACCGCGTAGCTGCCGAAGGGAGAGGTGGCAATCTTCAGAGCCTCGCAGAAACTCTGAGATGCCTGAAGTTGCATGTGTTGCATTTCCTGGGTCAGCTGCCTCTTTCACACACGTCCTCGCTAAGAACGTCTAGCTCGTCGGCGATGGCGATGATGGCCCAGCTGGAGAGCCTGCCGAAATGCCGAACATGCAGACTCGCCATTCTCGCTAAGTGGCGAAGTACATCGCTTAAAGAGCGGCTGCTGTCATGGACGAAGTCGTGCAAGTACAGCAACACCATCATGATGTCTTCTGGCACACTCTGAGATTGGAGCCAGATTTTCAAAATCTGCATTGTGAACATACCGGAGACCTCACGTCATGGGACCCACTGCAATACTGCAATGAGGGCTGCGGACCCTCTCCGCTCTCACTGCTCTCATGTCCATGTCCTGAGGCGGGGACGGCCCGTGCGTCTGACGGACTCAAGAGTAAGTAAGCGCTACTGGCAAGGACATATACGAAGCTCATGGCAGCGGGATGGGCTGACACGTGCACGCACACCAGAACACACAATCATTCACACACACACACACATACACACACACACACACAGTGTGTGTGTGTGTCTCGCACCAGTCTCTGGGCGAAACACCATTGTCTCGCACGGGCAGATCTTCCAAACTCAAGCCCCAAGCCAAAGCTTGCGGTGCAGCTGGCTCCGCCCCAGCGCTCTCCGCATTTCTTAGCTGCGATGACTGCGATGCCTCGCCCGCCCTTCCGGTCAAACTCCTTGCCAGTGTTGTAGGTTTTGGGGTTCAGTAGCTTTTCGTAAGCCCAGTACGCTTCCAATAGCTTCCAGGAAGACACAGGGAATGACAAAGCTGCCCTGCAGCCTTTCTTTTGGCCAAGCTGATCAGGTTTCGGCTTCAGGAGTTTCATTTCCTGCAGGGTTGCAGTTGCTCCTGTAGCTCGCGCAGCTGGCAATCTTGTATCTTGAGGATTACAAATAGAATAAATAGAGGTATTCTGTCTCGGGCTTACTGGCCCAAGCCATGGCGGAGTTTGCTGCGTGAGAGATCTTGGCGCAATGGTTTTTGTTCTTGCGCGCTGCACCGGCTTGAGTTGCATGATTCATAGGCATTTGGCTGATTTAAAATGCTCATCAAGGCTTTATAACGAGGTCCTCATGCAGTCCTGAGTGCATCAAGGACATCACCCACGGGCAAGGTGATGTTGAGCGACTGGTGAAGCCCCACACCTTGGAGCATGACCTCAATGGAACAGGCTTTCCAAATTTTGCACACCCATGGGCACTATTTTGTAGCCCTCAAGTCCTGGCAGCATGCATTGTTTATTCCCAAAACCCCTGCCCGACAAACCCTCATTAAAGCAGTGCATGGCCGGGCCGTTGCACAGTCGAGATGCCAGGCGGTATCTGAAACCAAGTGCGTAGCCTCAGAGGCCACATCGCAAACTCTGCCTTCGAAGTCCTCCCAAAGCCACAATCAGAGTGCGATACAAGCCTTCTGCTTCTTGAAAACATGAAAGCCTCTTGAAGCCTACTGCTCCTCTTCCCCTGTGGAACCTTCCTGTCGATGCTCCTGATGCTTCTATACTTGCGTCTCTTAACGCCTGAGTCAAGGCACTGTGTTCCTACTACTATTTCTATTTTTAAGCATCTTCATACCGTGTCTTGACGCCCCTTCATCTCAGCATGCCAAAGCACTTAACAAGCATCTCCGATCATTGGCGGCGCTTCCGGCACGCTTACGGGGTGTTTTTGCGTCGCATGAGCGCCTGTGTCGCTTAAAGGTTTTTGAACGCCTTAATCGAATTTGATAGGAAAGCAGATTGAAAAGATGCATAAGGCCGCGTAATGACGCTGACGCTTCAAGGTGACGGCCCCGTTTTCGCGGAGGCCCAGTGTTCCTGTAAACCCTAAAAAAACCTTAAAAACCCTAAACCCTAAAACTTTTGGACTCTTGCAGGCAAGCGTCTGTTGTGCGCGGTGTACTGCGAGTGAGGCTCGGGCCTTGGCACAAGGGTCCGACTGTGGCTCACAGCCTCAGGGTGGCTGCTATAACTCCTGGCACTTTTAGAGCCCGGCAGGTTGATGTCAATGATGCCCGTTCCAGGGCGGCAGAACCTCTCTTCAAGGTTTCTGTGGTCAGCAAGTTCTTGCATGAAATTTCGTGCACGCTCCATAGCCTTAATCATCATTCCTAAAGCGCCCTTTGGATTTCAACATTAAGACAGTAGCCTAGCTCTGTTGCGACGATGACTTATCTGGAGCACCTGGAACGCAAGGTCGACTGAGCCTCCAGCACCACATTTGCTTGCCCGGATCCATGCCTGAGTATTGTGCGGACAACCCCTTGACCTATTGAACATACCAGAACAATGACTCTTGACCAAACCCCAATTAAGACTTGCAGTATGTAGCGAACCTTGCTTCTTGTTCCGAGACAATGAAAAGGCTCAACCCGGCTTTCTCAGCTTCACATCGGGATGCACTCCCACAACAATGTCGGCCGAGCGAAAAAGTTCAAGAGCTCGGCGAGCACTTGGCCTTGGAAAACATTGGATTTGAGGTGTTTGATCCTTGTCTAAAGGTCTCAGATGAAGCTTACATTCTTGGGGCGCAAAGCTTACCGTCGCAGCAACGTGCCCTGGAAGTCACGTCCCCAAAGACTGGCCACAAAACCTGATCCTATCATAGCCGCTCTGTTTGCTTAGTTGTTGTTTCTGATGCCTTCTTGCCTTTCTTGCGGCAGCTGTTATCACCATCATCGACAGACGATCTGAAAACCGCACGCGTTGACTGCAGGCTTTTGCCGGTCCCTGGCGGCCCTGGCATGCCTGAATGCGTGCAACTGTCATAACCTGCCACACTGCAACGACTGACAAAGATCTCAAGAAGCATGAGTATTAGTGGCTAAGCAGTTTAATTGTAAAGATGGTCGTCGTAACCACGCCGGACCCCGATTCCTAGTACCTCCTAGCTGAGGGCTGAGGGCACGACATAGGGCTGTCAGAAAAGATCTGAAGCTCCCAACCTTCCCACACAGCACTGCAGGCGATGCTCCGTGAAAACAATCGAGACACCATGTTGGAACCGAACTTTGCAATGCAAAAAAAAGACCATTCTGCCAAAGGTGCCACAAAAGGCTGTGATTTGTTGCGTTCCTTGAAGGTGGGAGCGGGGGTTGGGGCGGGGGTTGGGGTGGCATGGGCGCACCGTGACCCACAAGGTTCATCATGGCGCCCAGCAGTTCGGCTTCGTTGGCCACCCGTCGCGTAGTGGCCTGAATGGTGATGAATCAATGAAACATGAGTACAGACATGTCAGATCTTCCATGCCGAGGGCTGATCTCAAACTGCGGGCCGCTTCATGTGTTCTTGCAGGTCACCAACTCAGGGCCGCACCACAGCCCGCTGGATCCACAGTAGCGTCTTGCCACCTGCACCATCATTCTGCCAGGGCGCTACCCCTTGCAAGCATCTTGGCAAGTTGGCCCAAATTCACAATATGGTGAACATGTGTCGAACAAGACATTTTGAGTTTTCCCTGTCCTTGCCCTCTAGGATTTTTGTGAAGGCCGCATTTAAATTCCTGCCTGCTACTGACTGTCACCAGAAGATGATAAAGCCAGAAGAAGATGTGCAAGGCAAACCCGCTTGTGAGCCCCACGACCGCAGATCAAATGAATGCCCACTGGCATGGCCCAGAATAAACCTGACCCAAAGTCAGTATCTAGAATCTATCACTCCGGGCGAGCTGTGCTTTTCCAATTTGAGCGCAGCACTTTAAGCTTGGTATAGTCGGAAGTGGTTTCCTGTTGCCTCCATGCTTGGCATCTGCTTTGGCGAAGCCGAAGGCGCGACCAACGACCAGATCTCGCCTGGTCATCGGGTTGGAGGGTTTTGGAGCTTCGGGCTTGGGCCTACTAGGGCCTTACTAGGTTCAGGCTTCGACGCTCATGTTTCCTCGGCCCTTGGCTTTCAGAGGATCTTGCCAGGGTATGGAGCCACCCAGCAACTTCTCAGAGCCACCCAGCAACCCTTGAGGTCCTTTCACAACCCACAGAAACTCCCCATTTTGTTGTGAGGGTAAACCCCAACGCCATCCCAAAGATGATGGAAGAACTGAGAGCTGAGCAGCCGCTGCAGCGCCCATCGCGGCGGCAGAAGGAACACATCCTCCCTCCGAGCAGAGCCGGGTGCATCCTTGCATCAGGGATTCAGGATTTGAAGTCCTTTCTTGCAGTTTGTGCCGGGGCCAGGCGGCCAGTACACAGTTAATCACGAAACAAAGGCGGCGAACCCTGCAAGCTTCGGGATGCCCGCGGTGATCCAAAAGGGCCCTTTTGGTGCTCCAGGTGCCTTCAACCATTGCCTACACCGCAAGCTCCGGATCCTCAACAGGAAGGATTCCGCTTCCTGCCTGCCAGTCGACGACATGCAGCCTTGGGTGAGTGCACAGATGACAAAAGAGCTTCGTGCTAACTTATGCAGGTTCTGCACCCAAGGCTTAGCTGATTCAAGTCCGCATCCAAGGCATCTAGTTGAAGATGCTCTCCAGCGTTTACGTGCTCACTCCTCTTCTCACTCCGTCTCGCTCTTCTTCTCCTCAGTGGGCTAACAGGTTCGGGGCTCCAGCGCGCGACGAGGACACAGAGTCCCTCTGGGTTGTGCTGGCAGAAAGTGGCAGAATGTGAATGCGCAGTTCCAGGCCCAGCTTTTGGTGTGAGAACGTGTTTGCGGCATTTCAGAAAATGAAGAACGCAGCGGTTTTAGCACGCGAGGGAGCCGCCCCAAGGGCGCCTCTCTCGCTCTTCTTCTTCTTCTTCTTCTTCTTCTTCTTCTTCTTCTTCTTCTTCTTCTTCTTCTACGGGGCTTGAGGAACCCCAAAGGGCCTCTCTCTCGCTCTCTCTCTCTCTCTCTTTTATTTTCTTTTTCGTTCTTTACTTCCTTTCTTTTCTTTCACTCTCTCCTCCTCCTCCTCCTCTTCTTCTTCTTCTACGGGGCTTGAAGGGCGTCACCGCCCCCCGCACCACAAGTCGTCGTTGTGACTCGGAAACAGGGAAGACGGAGACTGCTCTGAGTGTGCATTTGTTCCCCGCCTCCCCCCCTCTCCCCCTTCATCACCTGAACCACTCGCACTATGCACCTACATTGCACTGTTCTCGCCTGCCGTGTCTTCCCTGCGTGAGACTGCCGACATTATGCTAGACAGTAACCACTACTCGCAACGGCCTAAACACCCCATATCATCTCCCTTATCGGCTTTGGTTAAGTTCATGCTCAACTCTGTCCCAGTTGTTAGGCCTAAGCAACAAAGCAAGCCCCCTCCCATACTTACTAGCCTTTCCCTGGGATGTGTTGAGCTTCGGTGTCATCCTATGTTCCTCCGGTCTTGGGCTTTTCTACACATTCCACACTTACCTTCCCCCGTTCCCCCAAAAACACAACCTTCAAGTACCTTTCTGAAATCCTCCCCTCCCCTTGCGACCCCTTTAGAAGCGTAGCCCCACCGGCGTGCAGCGACACTTATGGCCCTTATGGCAGTGCTCTGGCATGGAGGTTCACCCGGCTTCACTTTCCCTCAGTTCTTCTTTCCCCCTCGTTCTTCTTCATGTCCTCTGCCTCTTGCTCTGCGTCCGTGAGGTCTCCTTTCACTCTCTCTCTCTCCCTCTCTCTCTGTCTCTCTTTCTTTCTGCGCACCTAACCCTCTCCCCCATTGGGGAGGCCCCCCCGAACGCATTGTTGGGTTTTGCGAAGAGACCGATGCCTTGGAGTTTCCGGGGAATGCAGCAGGTGATTACGGTGATTAGGTCCATTAGGTATCAGCTACTTACTGCACATTTTCCCCTTCGACTCCCTGTCAGGTACGGCCCTTCCGTTGCCCCTCCACGGCTTGATTGGGTTACTGGTCCCCCATCAGCGATCAACACAGTACAGTATCCATCAAATGATGAGTCCCCCACCCCCTATGGTAAACCATATCGTGGGCTGTTCAGAGCAGCTTGGGTGACACATATACTGGGTTGGTGGTATTCCCCATTCCAGGCTGACTTAGTGTGCCCTCCTTCCCCTCCTTGCATTCCCTTCCCTCTCTCTCCCTCCCTCCCTCCCACCCTCTTTCTCCCTCCCGCTCTCTCTCTCTCTCTCTCCACACGCTAGGCCCCCCAGAGGGGAGCCGCCCCGAAGGGCGCCTCCCTCCCTCTCTCTCTCTCTCCTTCTTCTTCTTCTTCTTCTTCTTGTTCTTGTTCTTGTTCTTGTTCTTGTTCTTCTTCTTCTTCTTCTTCTTCTTCTTCTTCTTCTTCTTCTTCTTCTTCTTCTGGGCATAGAGGGAGCGCCCCCGCGCACCAGGGCGCTCCCGAGGTGTGTCAGGTTCGTGTGTGAAATTGCAACGATGGACTGTGGTGTCGGTTGGACCAGCTCGCTACTTTGCCTTGCTGTTTTCCCGGCCCTGTTGGCCGGAAATGTTCGCGACATGTTTCGTCCATCGCGTGAACCTCCCGAGCTCCCACACCCTCATCAATACACCACATCTCCATCTGAAACTCAAAAACCCCTTAATCACCACACTTCCTTCCTTACACTAATCACAACACACTCTCTCTCTCTTTCTCTCTCCAGTGTCTCGCTCTCTGTCTCTCTCGCTCTCTCTCTCTCTCTCTCTCTCTCGCTCTGCCTGTCTCTCTGTCTCTTATCTCTCGTGACAAGCAGCCACCAACTTAGAAAACGGTTTCTGCCGCTGCTCCCTCCCTTGGCTTGGCAGCACCCCCCCCCCCCCCCCCCCCCCCCCCCAAACCCTACAATGTCAACATGCCGTACGAGGTTGAGGTCGACGCTGGCGCACAAAGAAACGGGGCTCCGCTACGCGTGCGGCGCCCATGAAATGAGGCCTCACCTGGTGCTCATATTCATATGGGTGGAAGCTTTTGACGGACAATTGGGGGTCAAAGCATCAATGGCTTAAAAGTTGGGCGGACCGGACTGCAGGGATGTCTGTGATGACATTGCCAGGGGATACTGACTGTAGTAGTCGCAGCCGCAGCGACTGCACTGCACGCCCCCTGGACCCCAAAGCCCCCCTCGCGATAAAGCCCGATAAAGTTCAGAGTCATATTTTGTCCCATGCCTACAGTAGCAGCCTCACACCACAGTGCAGGGATGCACAGCAAATTTATTTTTGTCACACGCCTAGCTGGCCACTCTTGGCCACTCCGCAGGGACTATTCCAGGGTTCATATATATGTATGTATATGTACATATGTACATATGTACATATATACATATATATATGTACACATGAATGAGAGGGTTTCTGGTTTTGGTTTTAGGATTTAGGATTTGGGGTTAAGCTAGCGCTTCGAGTTTAGGGCTCACCATGGCCCCAATTAACATTTCAGCCCTGAAGCCCTTGAAAGCCCTGGCGACACATGTTTGGCGTCACCAACAGAAAAGGGTTTAAGGTTTAGGAGCGGAGAGACCCTGCCTTTGTAGACCAGGCAGGTATCGAAGGACGACTGTTGGCCCACACCAGAAGCTAACCCGTAACCCCGGGCTTGTAAGAGCAAGATGCTTTTCTGGCTTAAAGTTTAGACTTCAGAGGATGTCTTCAACCCTCAGCGCTAGATTCTTCTCTGTCTTGCGCTCTACGGTTTCACTTCACTTTCCCTCTATTTTTGTATTCAGGGTGCAGAGTTTGTGACGGCTGTCAAAAAATCAACGGGTTTCGAGTCTCATGTTCGCACGCAACAGGCAAGGCTCTCCATCCAACTCTTTCTAAACCCACAACACAGAAAGCTGCGTCAGTACTTAAGCGACCTGCAATCGGGTTGGGTCCCCGTTGTGGTCGTTTAGACAAGTCTGTTTTCTGAATCCGACCCCCCGCCCCATCTAGAAAGCTCTAGGGCATCTATGTCTTCCTCACCCTGCGCTTGTTTGTTTGCCCGTGGGCCGCTTCCTTGGCTTGGATCATTTTCTCACACTCAAATGGACCGGCCATCGTCGGCCTGCGGCCCCCGCGTCGCTGAGCGAAGGAAGCTGCAGGTGGCAGAGGAGAGCATGGAGAAGAGGCAGACAGCTATGAGGCCCTTGTGCCCTATGCGGCAACATGTGCCAAGCTCGTCTGTAGGCTTGTGCCACAAGAAGCTAGCTGACCAGAGTGCTGCCAGCACGGTCAACACACTCAACACACGCAGACCTGAGGTGGACCAGATCAAAGCGGGGCTGTCGTTGTCCTTGTAGGTTTCAACTATCCACTTAGCTTCGTTGGCCAGCAGCATGAGGGGCACCAGGGGAAGCGCCGACAAGAACACGGTTGCAACATCGCGGAGGTGGCAATATGCAGACAAGGACGGGGACAAGGTTGCGAGAAGGAAGCTGCAGAGATTCAGCCCAGCCGCGCCACAAAGTGCTGTGGATCCCCGCGTGCGCCTTCTGGGAGCAATCCAGGCCCTTCCAAAAGCCACCAAGCCCAAAAATGTCCGACTACAGAGGACGAAGCTTGTGATGGCCGTCAGGATCTGGATAGCTGCGTTCACCTCACCTTTGACGCACTTACACTCCCGACCGTACTGCGCACAGTGTCCCCCTCCATGTATGCACGATGTAGAGCACAGGGCATCAGGGCCGCAGCTCAGCATGGAGTCCATAGGCACGGTTGCATTTGTGATGGGCACAGCCAACAGGACGGCTTTGCTCACAAGCATGCAAACCTTCCAGAGAATACCCCAGCGGAAGTGTCGGTCCAACCTCGGCCACCCTGATGTCTCCGACGTCTCCGACATGATGGCAAGGAAGCCATTGGAGATGCAAAGCAACGCAAACCCGACCACCACCACGAGCAGGCTATTGCGTGGACTTGGCGATTCTTGAAGAAGCTGCTTGGAGCACACCAGAAATGAGAGCGTGGCATTCGCAATGCCGATCCAGTGGCGACCCCGCCAGCTGTCCAGCCACATTCTGACACAGCCGAAGATCGCCACACAAGTGCTGCATTGATGACGTGCACAGGCGATGGCTCGCTGGCAGCTTCCTTCTAAGCATGAAAAACAGCGTGGGCACAGGCCGTGGCTTGACCTCGCTGCGGCTCCTTCGAAGAGCCGCCCTCCCTCCCTTTCACAGCATGGGCTCCTGAAATTTGTGTGCACGGCCACGGTTGCACAAAACAAGGTAGCGCCATGACTGACCAAGAGCACGATGCAGTAGAAGCGGCTCTCGCCAGAGCTATGCCCAAATGGAGTCCAAGCAACATGCTCAGCATGTGCCGCACCGGACCAGCTTTCTAGAAGGAGGAGGATACCAGTGGCCATAGCCAGGCCCACAAGCACCAACAGCAGCCCCGATGTGACCGGCAACCCAGCATCTTTGGGGCTAGAACGCTGGGTCCAGAGCTCGGTAGCCAGTGCAAGCATCCCAGTGGCAACAATGACAGCCGAAGTCCACGCCGGTCCATGCCCATCCATTGTAGTCATAGTGACGACAGGGCACAGCACGAAAAGGCCGGCCAAACCTACGGGCCACTTGGAGTTTACATCCCGAGCTTGTAACTGCAGATGGGATGCAAGCATTTTCCCACATAGCAGAGGTATCGCACAAATGATGGTTGCCAGCACGGTGATTAAACCCACGTACGGACCTGAGCGGAAATCACAGAGTGCTGAGCCCTGCAAGGACAACAGCCCAGTGGGGCACGTAAAGCAGTTGCCCCGCTTCCCATACGTCATGTCTGAGCAGAGCACAGGCCTGAAGACCCTGGAGCCACAAAGCAAAAAGTCAGGCAGGCGGCTGGCAGTAGGGTCCTCCACCCAGGTGAGGACAGACTCATACCCACAGCCATGCAGGTAGAAGTGGAAAGAGGGTTCTAAAACACCTCCATCAAGAACACGCTCGTACACATAGAAGTCCCCCACAGACGTAACCAGGATCAAGCCTCCGCTTGCCAAGGGACGAATGAACACGACGTCGCCCGGGGTACGAAACTGGGCGAATGACTTCCCTCCCTTCTCCACAGCAGATGCGTTGAACAAGTACGCTGCCGAAGAATGTGAATCAAAGGCTGCCAGACCTCCGTCGCAGCAACTCACAACCAGCCAAACAGCATCCAATGGAGCGTGCAGCTCGAAGTAGTGTGAATCGTTGCAAGCACGGATGGCGCTAGCAGACAGCAGAATCAGCTTGGCCGCATGGTCGACCTGAGGCAACGTCGTCAGGATCAAAGCACCCTGCGCAGTGCCACCCAGCAGGGTGTAGTTTGTGGGCAGCGGCAGCTGGCAGAAGGGCTTCAGCCAGCTTGAATGAGATGTTTGCAGTGATCTGGAAAGATTCGAAAGGTTCCAGAAGCTCATCCAGGAACCATTTAAGATTCCAGCCAGTGTGTTCTCATCCACAACTACGCTGTCAGAGGAACCAATGTCGGTTACTTCCTGCCACCCGTGCTGCGCGGAGTCCATCCAGAAAGAAAGGAAGCTCGTTGCCAAGCTGAAGTTCTCAACAACGAAGCCGCTTCCTGCAGCCATGGGCTCCCCAAAAATCCCGAGCTCTCGGCCGACTACGTCCCAGGCTGTCGTACCTTTCAAAGCACTTGAGAAGTTGAAGAAGTGTGTGTCCATGCCGTACTGCAAGCACAGGCCCTGGTACCCCCACGGAAACAGACGATGTTGGCTAACTACTCCTCTGGCATCAGGGTCTGGCTTGAATCGCAGTGGCGTTCCGACCAAGGAGAAGTTCGCGCTGGCCCTGTAGAACAGCACTTGCATCAAGATACCTTTCTTAGCATGGCATGACAAAGCAAGAAGGTCATCCAAATCCAGCAGCTGTGCGATGGTCTCGTCACATGTGGTCTCGAGTGCCCACCCTGCATGGGGGCTTTCCACGGGCAGCAAGTACATGTTTGCACAAGCGTACACCACCACTGTCCCAGTACTCACGTAAACCATAGAGGCCATAGTGGGGCCGACCCATGTGTCGTTGCGGCAGCTATTGGCTATTTCGTGGTGGAAGAATGCCATGCCGCCGTCCAGGACGGCAGAGTGATTGAACCAAGAAAGCCTCAGAGATGATGTGTCGGAGCTGAATTCAAGAGCAGCTAAGCCGAAAGGTACTTGCACGGTGAGGATGGTCTGGCCCGCTGGCATTTCCATAGCATTGAATACAGCATGGCTTGAAACGACTGGGCCCATCCCTGTCATGGAGACACTGATCAGCAGGTGCCTACACAGGCCCCGCAGGTCTCGAGGGCATTCGCGGACCAGCAGGCCCCCTGCGTAAGGAGTACTGCTTCCAAAAAACATGCGGCCCTCTGCAGCAGAAAGATTCGCAAAGGGGCGAGCTCCGAGCTCCAGAGACCCCAGTTCCCAGAATAAGATCCATTGATAATGCTGACTTCGAAGGGTAAGAGCCGCATCCAGCTCTAGAAGCTCAGCATCCATCAACTCGGTCGCAAAGTCGCGTGGAAGGGGTACCTCCAGAGCGAGGTCCTCACTCGAACTTAAGTCATCGTGGTTTAGGGGCACCATCCGAAAGACAGACACGATGTAGGACTGCTTCTTCTGGGACCATCGCAGGACGGCCCATGCACCACTGCGCAGGAAACACATGGCCATGACAGTGCCATTGGCCTCTGAAGAGTTGAAGATTTCACCGAGGGGCGCATTGTACAAGAGTTTGGTGCCTAGGTTCGCCATGCTAGTAGCGTATGGAAAGTCCACCAACTCCGAATGGGAGGTGATCACCTCACCACCTGCGCCAGGTGTCAAGCCGACTGTCTGAAAAAACTCACCATCTCGCAGGTCGAAGCGCGTGAGTCGCTGGTCTGCAAGCGCCAACAAAATGCATGGCAGGCCAAGGTGGCAAACGAAGGTGGCTGCTCCCATGGCCGTGTCGCAGCTACTGGAAGGTGCCGAGGAGGCTAGCGGTTCCTCTTCATGGACTTAACTTGTCCAGAAAAATACCGTGTCAAGCCCAAAAATGAACCGCTTCCTGGACAAACATGGACACACATCACAAATGAGACCAAGGACTTGGCTAGGCCACTGAGGAAACGGCATCGTAGGGTATGAGATCAAAACCTGACAAGGCGCGCTGTCAGGACAGGGAAGCGGTGGGCTTAAGGGCGTTCTTGCGAAAGGGATTCGCTGACAGGTGGGAAGCATCTGCCTCCGAGCAGTGCTAGCCAGTCGTACATGAAGGGCTTGAGCTGACCGCGATCTGCAGGCACCTAAGGCCGAGGTTGTTGGAGGGTTCGGGTTTAAGTTGTGCGAGCCCAGCGAGTCCAGGGCGAGCAAGGGTATCCTCTGTCGGCTGACCTTAAGCTTTCAAGGCTTCCAGCCTATGGAGAGGTGCTGAACAACAAGCCCCTTGCCGTAAGCCACACGGCCAGGCGAGCCAACTCATCCACTAGGAAACTGAAGAAATTCGCGGGGAACATGACCAGCAGCCACAGCCTAGCATGCCGGAAGCGGCTCAGGGAGTGGGATCCCCGAACCCAAGTCAGCCCCAATCCAGCTCAGCACAGTGACGCCACGGGCAGCCACCGCACAGGCTCTGCCGGAATGGCTGGGCTCGGGAGATTCCTGGACTTCGGATTCAATCATGCTCGGACAAAGTAGGCGCATGCAGGCGATACTCGAAAGTGCACAAATGTCCACACAAAGTCTCTGCAAGAAGCTGGCCGCCTAGCTAGCTTGCGCCGTGGGGTCCACATTGCGCAAAGGATCGACAACTTTACATGGAAGCAACTTAGTAAGGTCAGTGTCCCATCCAAGCCGCAAACCCTCACCTCAATCAATGAGACTTACACAACTTGGGTGGGGCAGAACGACATTTTAGAGAGACGTCAGAACAACATAGAACAAGTGCGCGTAGAAGTTGCAGTTCGTTGTAGAATGAGGGGGCGCTATGGTAGATGAACTGTTGGTGTGAGATTTATGGAAAATATCGGATTAAGGATTCAGGGTGGGCTTATGCAAACCACAGCCTCTGAGGCGGCAACTCATGCCATGGCACTTGCTTGTCGTAGTATGGTACAAGGATCTGGCAACCCTTGGTGATGACCTGAAGTCATCTCAAGTCAGTCGGCAGTCAGCAGTGGCTCCTTTAAGCCTTTGACCCTGGCAAAAGATGCCGAGGTGGACGAAACTAGACGAAAAGATGAACCGACTTTCGCCCATGTGCTGAAATATTTGTCAAAACTTGGAAACTTTGGCGGTGACACGGGCTGGGATGCCTGAAAATGTCTGAGCCCTCCTGGAGCCATCCCTGGTGTGTGTTTCCTGTGCTCTCGAGCTGCATGGCGACCACGCAGTGACGTAGTCGCCAATGACGAAGCTCATGCAGGAGTTGGGAAGTATACGTGGATAAGTAAGGTCAGTGCAGCCATTTTGCCCGTGTGCTCCGCCATAGCAGACGAAGGAAGCCTTCTTCAAAACTTCGCAGAGCCCCACCAGAGCCCCGGAAGTGTCAGTTAACTATGTGTTGGAGAGATGCAGTTGTACTACTTTTCGCCTGCGCCACGCAACCTGCCAGATTCATGCAGTTCCGATCCAGAGGCTTCCCCAGCTAGTGACTCACTCGTGTTGGGAATGATCGCATGCAGTCGGATGAGCTAGCGATGAGCTTGCAGCAAGCCGACCATGCAAATACTTGAGCATCTGGGAATCCGTACCGTCTGGCATGTCTGGCACTTGATTGTTTATATCGCCAGCATCCATGATTTCAATAGCCAGGAAAGCCGCAAAGCAATGCGCAGGCCCTTGCTTGGTCAGTGATGGATGTCCCATTTCTGGTAGCGCTGATTGAAGCAACTCCGCTGTGCTTCGCTGCAAAATCTGAAAGCGGCGGGGGGATGCTTTCATCAGCAGCACGGAAGTATTCAGTTTTCAGTTCATTCGTGCACCGCTGGGAGAACCAACTGCGGCTCAAATTTCTGCATGCTTCGGATGCCTTTCAAAGAGGCGGGCGCCTGTGGTCACAGATTACTCGGTGCAGCGGCTTTGGAAAGTTGCCGAAGCATGCGCTCATGGTGAGTCTGTTGTCTTGGCATCTGCCTTGAAGCCATGGCACCTCATGCCATTCAATGTTGATGCAACCTTTAAGCCTCCTGAGGTGACGAAAGCATCAACACAATCGACAGCTGCCACCATCACAAGAATTAAGCTGCCGACGCCCTCGTTCCCGCTCACCATCACATCCGTCAGCTTTGACATACCTCCGTCAGCAGCAGGCTCTTCGTGTTAACACTTGACTTCTGCAAGGCTGAGGTCGGCACGGACACTCCGCTCGACGTAGCGCTGGCCAGCCCAGCTGAACCGGCCGCCGAAGGTGTGGGGCATGCGCTGGCCGTAAACTCCGCCACCTCGATAAGCATCTGCTGAACTTCGGTTAATCAACGATGCTATTTGCACATGGAAGCAGGATGGAGCTCCCTCACGCTCTCAAAAACAAACACAATAGTCATGACTCATGAGCCCTTCATCTTGCCCAGTGCCCAGCCCAGTGAGAGCAGTACCGGGTCCTGCCGGTGAATTCAAGCTCAACCGGGCACAGGCTGCTATACTCTGCTCGGCGCAGGCAATTTAGAAGAGGCACGAAGGGAGCACGTGTGCCGACAAGAAGTTGGTCTTCTTGCACTCGCCTACTCCGCCTTCATACCATCCGATTCGTCCCAACACGAAATCTCATTCACCCTGGTCCACTTTGCCGGCAAACCGGGCAAGCCTGGCGAGGCAGACTACATTACGAACACCTCTGGCGAAACCGACCCCACAAAGCCCCTTCACACCCAGCTTCGAAAACCCAATTTGTACTTTTGCACCACGAAGCCTGAAGCCAGAGCGGAACTCCAAACACCTTGACCCCAGCTAAGCCATGGCTGCGTCGAACATACCCAAAATACCCAAATCAAATAAAGGCCGAACTCCCCAAGTCTACTGGATCCGGTCCTCGGCCCCTGCCATGAGCCCGGGGTCTCGGATGGCCTGCGAAAGATCAGGGTTTCATAACGTTCGTGGAAACATGTGGAAACCCTATGCCCGTTTGCTGCGCCCATAAGCCCTAAACTAAATATGCCTTGACACTTGAGGCTTCTGAGCTCTTGGCAGCCTCGCTCACAGCTCAGACATGGCAGTTGAGGCTTCACTGTCAGCAGGTCTGTGCATCTCTCATGCGCTTGCCCCGGAAGACGATGGTCACACTCGAGAGGGCTTGGGGTCCAGGTTCTGGGAGTGCAGGATCTGTAAGCCCGCTTGAATTTGTGATACCAGTATCTTGCGAGGATTTCTGCGAACCCTTTGGCAACCTCTCGTTGGGAGGTGCGCTTTTGGGTGCAGTATAGCGGTATGTGTATACTGTACTCTGTGCCCCTGCCTGGGTTCCTAGCATAAAAGATCATCTCCAAGAACCCAGCAACGGCCTCCCCACCATTTGGGCAAAGTGCACCCGTGCCCTTGGCCCACTCTGCCCCATCCTGCAGCGATGAGTGTTCAATTCATATTGTTGGAGGGTAGGTTGTAACCACGTCAAGGGGGTGTACTTTGTAGCCACACCACGTTCTTTTTGCTACCACGACACGGAACTTTAAAAGCAGTAAGCTCGCTTGTTTTGCAGCAGACACAGAAGCCGCAACTGCAGTCGAGCTGTCCATGTAGGCCCTGGAGATCCTGGAAAGGACCTTTAAGGGACGAGTCAGGTAAACGGACTTAAACAGACGAGCTTCCCTGGCAGCTGCTTCTCGTCTGTTTACGGCTTGGCCGGCTTGGCCTGAAAGGCCCTAGTCGGCCCTGGACCTTGGAACGGACCCTGGGGGCCTGCAATTTCACAACAGCCAACTGTTTAAGTCATGTTTACACAGAACGGACTTGTCTCTGTCACGCATGGTGCTTGTCATTCTACAACCTGTCACGGTTACAGCTACCCTTCCGTTCAAAGGGGAGAGAGAGAGAGAGAGAGAACGAAACCAAGAGAAGAGCGAGAGAAGGCACCAGCTCGAAGGTGCAGAAGGAAGGTCAGCGCGCCTGATGGTGAGCCAATGGCCGCGGGCCACCCGTCCTTGGGAAGATGCTGCCCACAGGTTTTCCTCATGATTTAGACCTGGACGGGGTTTGTGAGATGCTGCTACGCATGTTCAGGTTCAGAAGTTGATGAAGCTGACTTTGCATCATCTTAGATTGGGCTTCCAGCGAGAAGCCAGCAACAAGTAACGGCAGAGCATAAGGCCCTCAACATGTTTACATCCTCATTCCTTGCTTGCGCTTGACAGAACTCAACAGCTGCTTAACCGCCTAACGCCCCCAGGAACCAGGAACACAGAGGCCCAGGGCTGCTGCCAGGAAGCGAATGTGGCCTCCTGGCAGCGATTGGTGACTTTGCGACGTCTGATTCCCAGGATTTAGTGTTAAACTCACCCCTGGAGCGATTTAAGACCTCTTCAAAGTGATCTAGCATGCTTGGGTTCTGGGTTCGTCTACGGATGACCTCAAACTTGAAATCGTCCATGTTGCTTTCTTTTTTGTTGGGGGGGGGGGGGGAAGGAAAAGGATGGGGGATGCCTAGTGCACCAGCGCCTGAGCGCGCCGGAACTTGGGCTCAATGTGTGTCATCCTCAATGTACGAGTGGTTGGTTGCCAAGGATTGACAAGCTTTGGAGATGTTTGGTGTAAAGATGCGTAAAGTGTAATGCGCGCACTATCGGGTTTCGGTTGACTTCTCGATTCGTGCATGGAAATCAGGCTTTCCTGTGTGAGGGGAACCGCGGAACCTCCAGCTCTTGTGCTGGTAGCCGAGAAGCGCGCCAGTGCGAGCTGCTAGCATCGCTGCATATCTCCTCTGGCCCTTGGCCGAACTGCAAGAAAAGAAGACACATGTGCGGTTATGTGCGGTTGCGGCCATGCCATATAGGCTTGTAAAAGAGTCGGGTTCTTAACTTAGCTGAGTTCCCGGCCAGGGCCGCAGGCTTCCGAGCCGATTCTGCCATCCGCCTGCCGGTTCTCAACGGGTCTACGTACTAAACTCATGGGTGTCCAGCAGTCGTGTCAGCAACTGCAACTATTACTAGCTGCCAGGTGTCGATTCTGCATCTTCGACACTAGACACGCTAAGTAGCACTCATCCGAACTTCAGTTGTCCCAACACGGCTCACATCCTCATCGCCCGGGGGGAGCAGCAAGACCAGGAGCTGGGCCTTGTGTGGTTTTGGAGCAGGGCCGGGTAGGGGACCTCGCATAGGAATATTTCTCGTGACTCTGCTATGCATGGAACAACCTGGGAGAATTTTGGTCCTATTCCCAATTTGAGGCTACCGCGCAGTCGAAAGGTATAGATGGATCTCGGGGATCCAACTCAGACGCCTTGCCGCAGTCTCGGGACATCGGTTTAAGGGTTCGATTCTCACGTTGGCCAAAGTGGGGGTCACTGCCAGCGCTCCCATCTTTGAGGCGCGCGTAGCAATTGAACTCGGAGAATTTTGATGTACCAAAAGCCTACGAAGCACTGCTTAAGCACATCAAAGCACCGATCGGGAGCATCGACATGCATCGACTTAGCTGCGCCCCCTCTGCAAGCATGACATGTTCTTTCTCCGATCTGCTTGTCAGTGCCCATCAATGACACGACCCGTGTGGAGCGCCCCAGGTCATGCACGTATTCGTGGCATGCCAAGGCCTGACAGCCCTTGGAGCCCATGAAGGAAGAGTCAGACCATGCATAAACGCCCGAACGGCTCGGAAGCGCCTCATCACAAAGCCGACTGCCCTCCTGGAGGTGGTGAGTGTGCTCCTCAAGCGGGGGCGCGAGCGCTCAGGCTTGACGAAGTTTACGGCCAGGTTGAAGAGGTTGAAGGCATCTTGTACTCATCTTGTGTGTTTTCTGATGAGGGCGGGTGTGTCCAACACCACGAGCAACAAGTTCTACGCCTTGCGAGGGTTCGTCCCCTCACACGAGATGCTCAGGTTTCCAATCGAAACGCTTATGGCCCAGGTTGTTCACCTCGACTAGAGTGGGGCAATGTGGGGTACGGTGCACGTGTCTGCCCATACTCACCACGGTTGATACATACACATACCCGAGCCTGCCAAACTGCATGCTTGCACATCGTTCACGTGCCGAGGCTTTGGGAGTGTTTCAGGGCCGCCTGTTTTAAAGTCTTAAACGCCTGTGAACCCTGTATAGCCCTGTTAAGTTCATCGGAAGTAATGCAGCCGAATTGGTTCTGAAAACGACACGCACGACATGCAGTGGCAGCCGGGCTCCCAGCCCAAAGGTATGAAAGAGCCAGGCCTTTCTTTGCCTGCGCCGACCTGAGAGAAAATATACCTCCGCACTCGCTCCACACACCTCTACAACCTCTACACCATTTGCCAAAGTCCTTCAAACATCTTCAAAACCCCCCTCTTTGCTCCCCCAGCTCAGGTCACCCAAGCGACAGGTATCAAGGCGGAGTTGAGCCTCACGCGGCTCCAGCTGTGCCCACTGCTTGTAGTGCACATGTGCCTGAGCAAAAAGCGCAAGTGCGAAGCAAACTTGCATTGCATGTTTCGTTTGGTTTGCCACATGCACCGAATAAACATTGCAAGCATGTTTTGTTTGTGCGCCTAGAGATTTTTTGCCTGCCTAACAGACCCGCGGGATGCACTGCTGCAAGAGGGCAGACGGCCACAAACTGCCAGAGGAAGCACATTTCGGAGAATCTACTGATCTACTGGCACTGTCCAAAGAACAGAAGGGGTTCCCAAACTCCGCATGCAGCGTGGAGTACTTATGGCTTGGGAATTGGCCATTTGGGGCAGGTTTGGGAGTAGGCATCTAGGACATGCTGGGCCAATGATGGGTAGCTGGTGGCTGGGATTGCAAACGGACCGACAGCCCGTCACGAGGCTGCATTGGTTGGTCTTGGTCCCGAGCGGCTGTCCGATTGCCCAAGTCATCATAAACCTTTTTCAGGGCAGGGCATTGTGGTCCGCCGAAGACAATGTTGGCCGGAAGGAGCCGCCAGATTGCGATCGTCGGACTATGCAAGGCACCATTGGTCGAAATTGACAGATGTTAACTTGATTCGGGCGTGCTGGTATTGCATATCTTGGTGCGGAGTATGAATCGGGCATTGGGGTCAGAGCTTGTTGCGTTTTAGGCACAGCTATGGGTTCGTCGCCGGCGCATTTCGACGCTCACACCCGCACGAGGCAGGTAAGGCAAGCGTCCGGCACATTTAGGTTTTTTGGGTTGTGCAGTAAAGGCCTAAGATATACGAAGCCTGTCAGGCCCTGAACACCTTAGCGATCTCATGAGTTACTCTTGCCTTACATCCGCGGGCATCCGGCGCAATCTTTTCCAAGCCAAAACGTAAAGCCCTAAACCCGGCAACCGCATGAAGTCCACTCACGCCAAAACGAAAGTGCTCACGATGTCCACGCTTTGCCTGGGCAAGATTCTGGTGAGCGGCCGCCGAGAGAGGATCCAAACCTCCCGTTTCAAGCTGGCGCAGCTTACTGGGGTTAGGGTTTGAGACGGCGGGGACGGTAGGGCCGAAGCGCATCCACAAGCAAGGCGACAGGAACGAAGAAACACTGTACATTTATTGACTTACACCGACATGGGTCGCCATGCTCAAGCTACATTCACTACCAGACTTCGAGGCTCAGGCAGCAAGGCAACTCAGGAATCCCAATAAAGCTAGGGTGGAGCTTGAAAAGATGCTTGGGGCTCCAGGAGGTTCTGAGAACCTGGAGATTCAGCCAAGGCAACTCAGTGCTCGGCGTATGCACTCTCGGTAGGCTCGGGCAGCAGTGTTTGGTCTCGACAGAAGGTTCAGCCTCGCCCGGAGACCACAATGGCCATGAGATATTTTTGCGAGCAAGAACGTGGTTCTTGGCTGTGCTGGCTGCCCAAGCCCAGGCCCGTGCGTACCGCCCAAGTAGAAGAAGCCGGCTGGCCTGCAGAAAGCAAACGAAGAACCTGAAGCCTCACCCTCCCCAACCGACAAGCAAAATTTGGTAACAAGAAGAGCAGCGTGCATGCCGCTACCATGGTCCCACGGACCGATCAACGTCAAGTTGTGCTGCCCGGCGGCGTCGTGCGGAGTCGTGCGGAGTCGTGCGCGTATGTAACAAACCAATCAACACTCGGGCTTTCGTTTTTGCCAGAATCGTCGACCTTCGAGCCACCGGATCTGCGGACGTCCTCAACGTACATCCGCACACGGCACGCGCAAAGAGCCCACTTCCCTTCATGCATCTGTTCTTCGCGGCCTTATAGTGCCTCAGTGTCCTGGGCACGTTCCTCGCCAAGCGAATGCGAACTGCATAGTACTGACGTCGCTTTCGGGTTTTAGACCGTGCTCCCGGCACACACACCCCATACGTACCTGGCACAGCCTCCCCGCCACAGCAACATCAACAAGAAAACGCTGCATGTACAGCAAAATTCCGAGCGCAAGAGCAGCATACAAGAATTCGACGCATCACCGACCCAAAATGCCCCAAGTGTAGCCCCAAGTCCAAGCTTCACACCGACATGGTTAAAGTCTCTGTTCGCACTCGAAACCGTAAGTCCACCGCGTAGGCTGCAAAGCAACTGCAGCTGCCAGCAGCTCCTTTGCAAATGTTTCGGCGACTGTTCTGAGTTCTGAGCAGCTCCAAAGACTTTGAGGGCGAATTCGTTGCCACCAGCCCAGCACGCACGCTTAAAGTTTTGCCCCTTGCTGGATTCAAGACCTTCGTGTGCACACGGGATAGTGCCGACGAGGTGCAGGCGTTGGACCTACAAGTACATAGTCTTCGGGCCGTGGGTCGGCTGCCGACAGCTCGGGCAAACGTAGCCAAAGGCTGAAAACTTCAAGATCCAGAACCCTAGATCCTTCAAGACAAAGCACTCAAACACCTCTCAAACTGTTTAAACATGCCGAAACACTTCACCCACTAAAGGTCACTTAAGCCTGGTCCTTCGCCTTGAGCAGCGCCTGGGTGTGGAAGTTGCTCCGGCCAAGCCTGTAAAATCTGCTGCCTGCCAGGACAGGGTTTCGGGTGCTTCGACATTGCCGTTTGGCTAGTCTGGGTAGAAATTGGCAGAGGAACCGAGTCAATGATGCACGCAGGTTTGGACTGGATGTACAACTCGGACAATCACGGTACGGAGTGGCCCATGTCCGTTTGTGTTTAGATGGAGTTTAGGGCTGAGGGCCTACATACTTTTTGTAGAATGCGTGGAACCGGACATTCGCACCGCTTGGCAATGGTATCGAGCCAAAAGTCGATCATCGGCCGACAGGCGACATCAGCAATCTTTGGTAGTGACCTCTCCAACCTGAGAAAGCTAGGGTCTGTTCCTGGACTTGGGGCGTAGAACGGCGTAGAATGCAATGCCGGCAGCACCTTCTTCCAAGTACGCTCGGGCCTTCTTGGCCTCTCGCTTTGCTTGCCTCCAAGGCAGAACCAGGATTTCGACTCTCGCACTCACGCACAGGCAGTCAAGGCTTCAGGAGACAGGTCCCACTCACGCTTGGCACATTGGATACAGTGTTGCTTCTAGAGCGTAGAGTCACACGGCTTTTTGGGGTAGGAGATGCTCTCCGACTGGTGTCTCCAGGAAGTCCAACCTACAGGGTTCAATTCTTTAGGAAAATCAGAGTGCAACAAACAGACTATGCCCCATGCTGCGACACCCTGGCATCCTAAGCCTGAGATCCACAAGAAGTGCAAAGTCACATAATCCTATCGAGCCCGCACTAAAAATTTCGGAAGCCGTTTGGTCACAGACACTGTTCTCGTGGGGCCTTCGCTTTGAGAAGCTGGGTCCTGGACGGCTCAGGAGATGGCGTCAGTGCTGGGATTACTTTTGCCAAGAGCCCGCCAAGACCACTCTACGCTGCCAAAATGCCTCCTTAGGACCCTAGGGCTTGTTTCTGGGAGGGTTTTTTAGGCTGTGTCTCACTTTTTTGTTTTTCTATCACTTCGGTCTGCGGGCGGGGCTTGGAAATTTTAAGTTCTGATCATCTGATTGTTGTGAAGGGGAACGTTCGAGACCACCACACCACACGACCTTCCCGTCTTTTCATCTCTGCCCCAGGCATCTAGCTCTTTTTGGTGGCCTCAGGCAACACTGAAGTCTTCGATTGCTCCACAAGAGCAAGAGCACTCAAAAAAACGCGCCCCCTTAGTCTCCAACCCAACCCAGCTTTGCCTTTGCAGGTCTTGGATCCTGAGACCCCGATGCCGAACCCCACACAGCCGGAGACTAGCCCCAGCGCCACCTAGCCTGAAGCAGAATCCACCATGCTCCAGCAGAAGAGCAAGCCTCGGACAATGAGGAGAACCCTTCTTATCCTTCTTGCACTTGAGTTTTGGGGAACCTGAAAGCAAAAACTACAAACTCGGCTCTGAGAGAAAGAGAGAGAGAGAGAGAGAGAGAGAGAGAGAGAGAGAGAGAGAGAGAGAGAGAGAGAGAGAGAGAGAGAGAAAGCGCGCAGGCCAGCCAAACTTCAGGCCCAGAGTTATGAGGTTTTCAAGTTCAAGGCCCGGCCCAAACAACCGTGGACCCCACCCTCCCCAACAAATTTTCCCAAAGCCGATTCAGGGGGTCAAACAAAACTACCTTGCTAGTCCGGATTTTACTTGTTTGGGGGAGGGGAAGGGCCAGGGGGGCGAGGCGGGGGAGGGGTTACCAATCCGAACTCGACATTAGGATGTCTGAAAGGGGCTTAGATTTAGATTTTGGGCTTTTTTGTTGAGGGATAGATGGGGCGGGGTTCGGCTGTTTGTTGGTTACGGAGCGTCTAGTGATTGCCACGCTGGGACAAGGCACTAGAATGATCAATCCACGCCCAACCAAGAAAGCTGAAAACACTCACGAACGATTGCGGGATGGAACACGTCACAATCCTCAACCAAGATCTCGACTGTTGCATATCTAGCATATCCCTCCCTTGAGTTCATCCTCTGCACGTGTTAGGTCGGAAACCCAAAGTGCGTGGAGATCCAGGCTTGCGGATTCGTGGTGAGAGTCTTTCAAGGCAATTTGGATTTGAGCTTGGACAAGTTCCCTCGGCGCGCAGGGAGGCTCAGTTCCTGGTTGCCGCCAAGTCATGTCGAATCCGAGGCCCAATCCGGGATGGAATGCATCTCGCTTTCAGGCGGCTAGCAGCAGCTTTTCGATCTTCTGAGTTCAGGATTTGGGACTACTACGGGTCCTGGAATTCTTAGTTGCTGCATCATGGTCCGGCAGGGTTGTGCTGTCTGATGCTTGCTTTCATCCGCAAATGGCAACAACCAAGGATCACTGCTACAGCATACAGCATCCCACATTCAATCAACGGCTTGCAGCAGCACGCCTTTTGTCCCATCTCCATCGTGCTCCACGGAGTCACTCTTGTCCGTGACCTCTTGCTGTAAGCATACAGAAGGACATGAAACTGCAGGCTTGTTTTGTACAAGCATGCCGTAAGCAGTGCAGGTTTAACAGTGCCGAAACTCTTTCGGCACCAAAATCATACATGAGGATCGGGCGCAGGATTCCCTGGCATGAAGCACCCACTTTTTTCAAGGACGGTCTAGACAGAGGTACCCTTTCGAGTCAGGACGGCCCATGGTTCGACGGCCACGGGTGATCATTCCAGTATCGAAACACAGCGCAGGAAGTGCCAAACTGTGCACAACCCACCGCAGGGATCCGACGGTTGTTGATGTTCGCCATGCATACTTGACTACGCATCTTCTCCTTTCGGATTGATTGTAGCAGTGATGCAAGTAATTAACTGTTCACAGGACGCCTGGATCCTCGCCTACTGCCCGTGCACAAACGCTGCGCTTTGGGCAGTAGACCAGGGTAAAGAAAAGTTTCAAAACACATGCAACGGATATCCGCGCTTTGGCATCGTTTGGTGAGCAAACGCAAATAGCCACACTTGATGGTGGCGACCTACTTGAGTGAATCTGTCGGGAAGCGGAGATTAACGAATCCTTGCCTCAGGCAATACCGCTGCTACCTGGCTACCTCGGCATGAACGCAGGTTCAGGGGAAACGTTCGGCCTTGAAGCAAGCAAGCTTATTCAGCGTCAGCGCATGACTCCGAAGAAGCGCCCTCATTGCAAGCGACATGCAGGACGTCACGCCAATCTTTTCCTGCCCTGCAGTGACTGGCTTGAAGCAAATTCTCTGAACCTTGTCTCCAGCTCCCAGAATCCGAAGCCGTCCGAGCAACCTGAAGCCCGAGTTTTGGCCTAAATCATCCGCCTCCAATGCTAAACACGCCGGCCAAAGGCACACGCTCAGAGACTCCACCGACTCTGCATGGGCATGGGGCTTGGTCATACTCTCCACCCTTGAAGGCACCACCTAAGAAAGCTTGGCGACGTGCTTCAAAAAGGCTCGGACACATGTGCTGGCATCGACGTCAAAAAATAGAAAATCACGACGAGCTGCAGCGGTGTTGGACGGCGGTGTCGGGGCTTTCCGTGTGTCGACGGCCACTGGCTCCTGGCAAACTCAACCCATGTTCAACACCATCCCCTCAGAGCTTCTAGACCCACACAGCTCCAGCAAAACCCAATCCTGGAACATCCGGGAACCCCCCCCCTAGCAGCCCTAGCACTGGCTGGCGTAGCACCCTCGGATCCTGCAGTGGCTGGAAAGGACCGGCGCCGTGAATTGTTGTGGCAGACCTTCGGGCTACTGCACCACTTGACCGCACAAGAACCTTAAAAGGACTGGAATCTTTCATATCTTTCTCTCACGGCAAACATCGGACCCGACCCGAGCATAGCCCCGAAGACGTCACACAGCCGAACGTGCTGAGGCTTCCACATTATATGCGCCTGACGGGGGCTCGGCGAAAATCGCACCGAAACCGGAGCCCCGACTGGCATCGAGTGCTGAAGCCATCCTGGCTGGAGAATCGGCTTGTGTTAGCTGCACATCGCCCAACCCTGATATCAAAGCCCTGATCCAAATGCTATGGCAAGGTGGGCAAAGGCAAGACCTCGCACAAGATTCGGCTTGGGGTTTGGGGTGCAATGGGACGTTCGGATCTGGAGGGCCCGACCTGTCTGGCGATTGCGAGGTGCCATTGGCAGGTAGCTGGCCCGTGGGAGCGGTGACATGGAGCGAGCTTGCGGCCTTGCCGGTGCCCTTGCCACGGGCTTCTGGTAGGAGGGGACCACGTAAGGGCTGTACCTGGCAATTTCGAGCAGGCCTGCTGAATACGTAGAACGTCAAATTTCCATGGTTGCAAGCTGCCGAAAAAGTCCGAACATGTGCACAGTGTCAATCACCATTCAACGGGTCCCGGGTACATTGCGGGAGGCGACGGAGAGCGGCCGGCCTGAGTCTGCAACAAGTGATCACAAGTGGTGCCCACAAGGTCAGGCAAAGGTTCGAAAGCACACAAAAGATCACAAAGCCCTTCATCGCCCTCTTCTCCGAATCCAAGTGGCAACAGGCAGCTGGCCAGTAGACGCGTGAACCACCAGCCGTTGCAAGGGCTTGGACATGCGAAGGTCGCTGCGAAGGTGGGGAGTTGCTGGCATCACGGAGCCCGGCATGGAGCCCGATATGGAGCACGGGAGGGACTGAGAAAGGGGCGGTGCCGGGGACAGCCGGCCTTCTGGGGTAGGCGAGGCTGTGGTGGCGCGTGCAACGGGCTCCGTGGAGAAGCCTGTTGCGGGAGCCTGGGTTGCTACCCTCAGCAAGGGTACCGGGGATTCCTCCCGCGACATGGCTACCATGCGCGGGGGCGGGCTGCAGGAATTTCGGGTGGAACTGCAGGCGCTTGCCTGGGAGGGGTTGGCGTGCAAGATGGACAGCAAATCCTCGGCGGCTCACAAAAACTTCAAATCTCCGGAGACCTGGTGGGGCTCACACATTTCTCAAATCTCCGGACCTGCTCAGCTCGAAACTTCAGCTGCTGTGAGAGCTTCAATTAAGAAATTGTCTCGAGGCCAGGGGGCATCCCGGAGGTTGTGAATCTGGGAGGTGATGCCCACAGCGAGCGTCGACAGCGACGTCTCCGGGCCCTGCTTCTCCTCTTGCGCCTCTTTCCTTTCAAGGAGGATTCTTCTCAGTATGTCTCAGTTCTGTGAGTTATCCTTTTAAAGGGTGTGTCCTTTTGTTTGCCTTCTCCATGCAGGTTCTTTTGCAAACAGAAAGGGGGAAACTTTGCACCCGAGCTTCAGCCCCTTGAACTCATTCCTGATGGTCTCCATCATGCTCATCTGCAAGTCCTCCAGCCTCAGAGACCACGGCTCACGGATGTTGCTCCTTCTGCTACTTCCGGGAATGACCCGGATCTCATCCACACAAGGCATGTTTGCCATCTTGATTGATCCGAGGTCTTACACACCACTATCTCTGGGGCGGTGGTCGGTCAAAGGCTCCGTCCAAGGCTATGTGTGGTGGGCACAGGGCCTACTCTTTCGGATACTCCCTGGCGGAGAAAAGCATTCCAAAAAAAGAGTTCGTAACTCCGCGAGAAGGGACGGAAAACTCCAGAAGCCCCAAATCACCCCAGCCCCACCCAAACCACCAATCAATTTATGAAAAAATCCCGAAATGCTTCCAGGCCGCAGTTCGGTGGCACGCTTCGGCACGTCTCCCAGCCCTTCCGCCTTCGGCTGTGCCAGGAGGATGCGCCGGAGCTCCGACCTGAATAGGGTCTGTGTAACAGCCTGGGATCTGGGATTTCCTTCTTGTGGTCCGTTTGAAAAGGTTTCCAGGGCTTGTACAACATGTAGGGTTCGTGATGGTTCGTGTTCGAAGGCTTCGGCCTTTTGAGTTCCTTGATGTTCCTTGCTCGTCTTCGTTGCGCGCTGGCGAAGTTGGAGGCTCACTTGGATCCGATTTTTGACCAGTGCAACGCTGGGGCCCCCATTCGCCCAGCAAAGACAAAACAAGCCCCAATGCTTGTTGCCACCTGCCTTCAGGGTTTAGGGTTTAGCTAAGTTTAGGAAGATTAGGACTTTCGCCGCTCACAACTCGGACCATCCAGGTGAGGCTTCGTAAAAAGGTGAGATGGACCCATGCCTTTCCACCTGGAAGCACTACGTGTAGGGTTCAAGGCATTTCAGAATTTCGAGGCTTTAGTGGCTCTAGGATTAGTTTAGGGCTGTAACTTATACAGGCTTGTATGCAGGTCTACTCTACTCTTCGCAAGTCTACCCATATCGCAGAAACCCTATACACACTACACTGGCCAGCGGCATCTCATCCGCAAAAGCGCGGAGGCTTCCTGAGCCTCAGCAAAACGATACTGACCGCTGCGACAGCTCAACCTGACAGTTCTTTTCTGTTTTTTTTTTTGGGGGGGGGGGGGGGGGCAACTGTGCATCGGAGTGGTGTCCAGAGACATTTTCCTTAAATTCACTGCCAAGGTGCTGAGCCGAACTTTTGCGCGGCTGTTCTCGGACTCCCTGCAAGGGTATGAGCCCCACACCCCTTCCTCAACACGAACCCTACATAACTAAGAACGAGCAGGGATGCCAGCCAAAACACTAAGGCAGCCATGGCAGCCTACAGAGCCTTCCAGGGCCCCAAAAGCACCCTCGCAAGAGGATCAGACCGTCACGCAACCTTGCAGCTTGCCGTGCAAGCCCAACCCCAAGCTTTCCCAAACCCTCCCTGGCCACGCCTACCCTCCATTGGGACACCAAGGCTGGAGCCAGACTCCAGACCTGTTGGGCTGAGGGTTTATCAGTCTGTGTTAAGCTAATTGGGTTGCACTTTCCGTGAGCGAAATTTTGCGCTTCAACGTCGTGGGCTTTAGGCATAGATGGTTCACAGTTTCTTCTTCGTCATCTCATTCTCTTTTCTTCTTCTTCTTCTTCTTCTTCTTCTCCTCCTCCTCCTCCTTCCCCCTCGCTCCCTCTACCTCTGTGTCTTGCTTGCTTGCAGAGCGTGTGACTCTCTCTCTCTCTCTCCCTCTCTCTCTCGGGAGTTCTCTCTCCGCGGAGATCTTGGCCAAAGGTTGAGCAGAGCAAGAAAAGATCAACAAGAACTTGAGAGATGCTAGTGGCTGCGTGCTGCTAGTGCATGGTGCTCAAACCGTCTGTTGACCTTGCACGGGAACCTCTAAGTTCTCGACACAGAGGCGTGTTACTGGAGCTTCCGCGATCCACGGCATCCAGCCGAGCATCACTGGCCTGGGACATGATACGAGTAGGTTGCGGGTTTATGAGTTCGGGGCTGTCTGGGCTTAAGGGTTCAAGGATGTTCCTGCCACTTTGTGTCGCTCGTGCAGGTGGACTGGCGTACCGTACATCCCTATCGGGCACGTCGAGCGCTACTGTCTTGCAGATGCTTCAAATGAAAAACAACGATGTCAGTCGAGGGCTTACGTAACGCTCAGGGAGATATTGTGGCGGGTCGACTGTAAGGTTGCAATAAGTATGCTCCAAAGCATTCCTGACACGGCAAGCGTCTTTCAACTGAGGTCGGGCCCCCAGTTTAAAGGTTAGACTGCGTGGTTCAGCCTCGTAGCTACAGCTGTGCTTTTGAGGGGAACTGAGCCTTCGACACGTATGGACTTGTCAGGCTTATCAGCGCCGACCGTGTTCTTCAGCCTGTCCGGAGGAATGGCCAAAGCGTAGCCAGTACACTAATCTTGACAATGCGGGTTGAAGCCTTGGATTGCCCTCCCTGTTGGCCAAAGCTTGCCAGCTGCCGCCCGCAAGTCCGGAGCTTAAGATCAAGTTCTGTCTCAACCCCTCAAGACCTTGTGCTGCCACCAGCGGAGCTCTCGCTCAGGGATGACCTGGCCATCTTCTGTGATGAGGACGATTTTCTCAGCAGATGACATGCCCGCAGGGTGCCGGATTTTCATATATCACACGACTGACGGAGCGGAGAGACCAAGAAGCAGCCACAAAAGAAGGACTCCCGGAAATCTGGTACCAACCCTCAGACCCCAGACTGCAAGTTCGAACACAGGCCGGGAGCACTTCTTGCTCAGGAGCACTGGCAGTCCACGGTCGGACGATTGCGAAGGCCGAGCCTGGCACTTGTTTGGTTGTTGGGCTGGGCCTCATCGCTTGTCAATTTCGTTGTTACAGTAGGGCTTAGGAAGTTTGGGGGCTGTCCGCGGGAGCTGGCGAGGGTTTCTTGGCCCGCTGGCCTTTCATTTAGGTTGATGGCTGGTGGGAGGACTCAAAGACGTTGAAAAATATCCAATCAGAATCAAATACTCAGGCAATAAACTAATTCTGCTTTCAGAAAATGCTGAGTATCAGCAAGGGGTGCTGTGATGTTGGGGAAACAGCGCTTTCACTCCAACCTCAAACAACCAGGCCCCACAAACTCCATGAAACTCCCATGCAACATAAGTAAGATAAGCCTGATAAACCCAGAAACTTTCGGGGCTCAGATCTTCAGCTGCCTGGACGGCCTGTGTCTGGGAAGTGCTGGAGATGCGCCGCTTCACTACTTGACCACCTGGCTCTCCAAGCAGAAAGAAACTTCGAGGACTTCGAGCTTCTCTTCAGGGCCGTCTCAGTTCTCTCGATCAGCGTTGAGCGTGCTGTTGGGATTACGGGCCTTCTGCCGTCAGGGTTTAAGGTTGCTCGGCTTGGCAACTGCATGGCATTACGACACGGTTTTGTTTGCTTGCGGGCCTGCACGTGACAGGATTGTTGTCGTTCGTTCTGAAGAATCTCTTGGAACATCTGAAAATCGCCCCAAAACAGCAGGATGCACTTGCAGGGTTGCCGCGTGAACATGAACGGAGTATGCAATGGCACATAGTGGAATGTAGGCTTAAGAGACGCCCTTAGTCCAAAATGGCGCTCATGAGGTCTTCAAGTGTGTCGAATTGCAGTTGGGATGTCGAGCTATAGGGCCCCGAGCCGGTTCGTAGAGTGAAACCAGCTACTCCCTGTGTGGCTACAACCCATAGATGGTACCTTAGTATGGCAAAACAGAAACAACCTCAGAATTCAAAAGAATAATGACAACAAAAGCGCTCCCCCCCCTCAAGTCATGAAGCGAGGAAGAAAAAGGAGGACACACCGAGTGGCCTTGGCTCACAACCGCCGGCTTCGGGGCCTCCGACTCGCTCAGCTTCTGGCAGCACGCCTCTGCGTTTTTTGTTTTTTTTTTTTTTTTTTGGTTTTTTCTCCTGAAATTGTCTTCAGGCTTTTTCTCAGCGGGGTTTAATTAGGGCTTAGGGTTTCTGTCAGCACAGCCCAGAGCAGTACAACAACCCCGTACAACCCCAAAGCAGTTTTTGGGCTTAACCAATTCAGCACTGTACAAAGAAGTACAACAAACGGGACAACCCACCCTGCTAACGTGCAACGCCAGTGCAATACAGAACGGAACCCCAAAGCAATACAACCCCAAAAAAGTACAAATCAAAAGGCAGCACCAGGAAGCGGCGTTTGACTTCGTAGCAGCCTCCGAACAATTAACTCCCAAGCCTAACAGCACGAGCTAATGTAGGAAGCTGACATAAGACGACCACAAGCCAGGCAATTGCCCAATGCAAGGGCTTCAGCCCTCGACTAGCAACCCATAATAAAAGGCAACGCCCTAAGAAACGGCCCGCGCACTGGCGCGGGTGCTCTTTTGTCAAGAAATTGAAATGTTTTCTCGCCTTAACGACGATCTTGGGTTAAGAAATACATGTGTTGGTGGCGCCCTTCGTTCCGCAGGCAGGAAGTTTGTGCGGAGGTTTGCAAAAGCGCTCAAGTCTTGAATTGTTTTCAAGTTTCACTGTGGCATTTCCAGAGACTGTCACAACTCATTTTGCAATAGCTTTGGCTCAGTTTCACAGTTCACACAGCATACAAGCACCGAGCGCGGGTTGCATCACCGCACTTGGAAGCCCTACATTCATCCACGTGCCTGCGGCGTCATATCACCAGCATCACTTACGCTCGGGCGGCTTTGTTGACAGGCTTCCCCCTCAACACAGCTCCTTTGCCTGTGAGACGCGAGAACACATTTGACCTGCCTGTGTTTCAGGGTGTAGTTCCCTTCTCCCTAATATAAAAGGGTCCCCCCCCCCCCCCGCAGTATAAAAACTCCTCAAAACCCCCAACGGGTTTTTAGTCATGGGGGGGGGGGGCTCTGATCGTTTGTCCGAACAAAACAACCAGTCCTTCTAGCTTGCTGGCTCAGTCAGAGATCAGGTTTCAAGCTTTAGGCCTAATGAGTTTCAGGCGTCCCCGCCCCCTAATTCTGTAGAGATATGAAAAGGGGCGACCGCCGGACCGGGTTTTGGAGCTAGAGGGTGTTTTATTTTTAGGGGTGTATTCATGTTTTTTTTGGCACCCGACTAGCCACAGCACAGCAGGGTATTCATGTTAGGGGGAAGGGATTAGGGATTGCACAGTGCAGAGTGTCATGGGCTTCTAAAAATTTCAAGCAGCACCCTGCCTTGCAAAGGTCTGGCATGCCACAGTTCGACGCCGCCTGGCCCAGGGTTTTTGGCATCTGCCTTCGCCTTCTCGCATACGTACGTTAAAATGATCAATAGCAAGCTCCAACGCACGATGTCTAGCGACCTTCTGTAGCTGCCGCAGCATGTTCGGAGACAGTGTTGCGGTAGCTTCCTTGACCTTGGGCGGTAGATTTGGCTCTCAGGCAGAACGCTCTCGGCAAGTCCAATTGAATGCGGTGCGATTGTTTACCTGCCAACCTGGATTCGCTTGACAGAATGCAGACAAGCCCAGCGCACAGCTTCCTTCGCAAAAACCTCTGGTGGGGCTCCGGGCGCTGTCAGTGTAGGCATAGACCAGAAGCTGCCGCAGAATGATTACGGAAAGGGCGTGAGGCACCTTGATTGGAAACAGCATGAAGGGCTTGCAAGCCTGAATCCTTGAAGCCCTGAGGCCTTTGAACCGGGATTTCCTCACTTTGGAAACGGCCGCAGGGTTCGGGTTGGGCCACTTGGCTGTCTGACTGCCTCAACTAAGCGAAACTAATTCCCACGTCTGTACGCCCTCCGCAAGGCTTCAAGGCTTCGCTATGCGCTGGCAGGCAGATGCGAGCAGCTCAGGCCCCTGCAATGATCGGCGACTTCCCAATGGCTCGGTGATCCTCAAACGACAATCCAAGACTGCATAGACTGCAGACCAGTGCTGTTTCTCGTTCTCAAGGAACTAGAATCGGAGACTTCGGCTGCCAAGACTCGGCAATCAGCCGACGAAAGAATGGCAGCCTCCGTCAAGCAGCACTCTTGCACGGGAGATGATGCTTGTGTTTGTCGGAGACAGGGGCACCGAAACGACTTGCAAACCGGCAGCAGCTCAGTTCCATGCCTTGTCAAGATGATGCTGTGAGCCGGGACGATGGTAGGCTCCTGTCCTCAGATTTTGCCGGGTTGGCCCGGTGTGTCAAGGAGGCGGAGTGCAAGATGTAGCGAAAACGGGAATGAAAAAAAATCACTCTCCAGAGAGCGAAGCCCCGTCCAGCCTTCGCATGGCTCTGTGACGGCGAGCTGTAGGTCTGCACTGGAAGGGTCCGTCAGCAATCCTTTCCTTGGTACAGATCCCCATGCCGCGGTGTGTGGCATGCCACCCTGAGCTTCACAAGTCTGAATCTGAGTGGCATGTGGCGTGCTTGGTTGGAAATTGAAGCTCGACTTGCAGCTGAGGAGCAGGTAAGATGTCATGCTTGGAAGTGGAGAGTTGTCCACCTGTACTCGACAGAGGCTCCTGCTTAAAAGTCCACCGTCATGATAAGCCACAGCCCTTGGTTCCATTCAGTTCCCCTTTCAGGAAGGGATCTAGCTGTGGCTGTTTTGCAACGGTCTGCAGCTGAGAGCCATCAACAGGCCTCGAAAAAGCCAGTTCGCGGAGTAGGAGATTGCTTGTCCTGGCATAAGCTCGGCACAAGCATTGCAGAACTTTTTGGCGTTTGGACTGGCATGTTCGGCGCACAACTGGTGTTTCTGTGCTGAACTCCCTGAAACTGTCATGGCCAAGCCAGATACATAGAGGCATGCATACGCACATGCGTTTCAGGATCAAGAAAAATGAGACGATGAGCATCAAGGAGCCAAGGAGAACCCAAGGATCGTCCATGAAAAGTACATGCGCCCGGCAGGACTTTGTCGCAAGCAAGGGTATCTTTGTTGGCTCCAGCCCCTTCACAGTTGATGGCCCAACTCCCCTCGGATCTTCGAGTAGTGGTTCACAGACATTTCTTCGCCGGGGTTAGTCTTCTTTGTTGGTGTTGCAGTGCATTTCGGAGTTTGCTCATCGAGCAAGGTGCAGTCCGTTTTAAGGCTCTCACACACACACACACATATGCCAGAACGAAGGGCTTCAAGGTGCCTGCCGGCTAAGGGGTTGACGGAGCAACAGTTGCGAACAATAAGATGACAATCGGCGCAAGGTCAGGCCGAGGTCGTTGATCAGCCCATCGGCGATCATCCGGGCGAACTAAGTGATGTTTGGCTTCGTTCTTGCACTTGCGACCCTCTTCATGCAATTCAGAATACGGGCTCACACAAGCCTGAACATCATGAAACGGAAACACGCCCTTTGTTTTGGGCAGATGCATTGGAACATATTTACGCACCTTCCTGGGGACATCTTCGTTGGCAAGAGACCCGAAGGACAGCTCTTGACGCATCGAAGCAAAAGCGAAAGCAAAGTCTAAGCAAAAACAAAGCACGAAGCAAAGCAGCGAAAGAAGCATAGTCGAGGATGGGGGGATGGGGAGACAGTGCAAGAGCGAGCACATGTAACGGGAGGTGTCAGAGAAAGAACAAAGAGACTCAGAGATTCATAACGGAAACGCCGCGAAACATTAGTCCTATCGTCTGAATCCAGAATCCTACGTGCATGCCCTGCCTTGTCTCCGCCGCCCACCGGGAAGAGGTGGCTTGAGCTGCAGGCACTCGGAGAGGACTCGGCCACGGAGGGCCTGCTTCAGGTGACTTTCTTTTTAGCAGGTGTTCGTGGCTATTGCTGCTTGGGCGACCTGTGGACCATAACCCCTCAAGTCCAAACCGTGACCTGGGGACCATGTCCTTTCAAGTCTAAACCGTTAGCAGCTCAGTCCAACCAAAGCGCTGTGTCGAGGAACAGGTTCAAGAAACAAATGAAAACCCACACCCCGTGAAACACTGGAAATGCCAAAAAACGCACGACATGTGTTGTCATTGGGTCAGGGCTGCAGCATGGTGCAGTCATGTAAGATGTTGGGCGATCGGCCATGAAACGGGACAAGGTTGCCCGGCTGCAATGCCTTGCGAAGGAACCCAACCGCTCCTCAACGCAAACAAACCGTTCCAGCAGTCCCTTCAGACCCCAAACTCACCCAAAGCCTCCGCTTGAGGTCCAGGGCCGGGTTTGCCTCAGAAGCCGTCAGAAAGTGTGTGGGTCTCCATCCTTTAGCAGGCCTGTCATATGCTACCTCTAGCGGACCAATGAAGGCACCTACAGTGCATGTTGGGGTTGTCGTTTTTATGTGGACACAGCTCTTTGGCTTGGGGCAGGCTCTGACTTTAAATTCCGCGTATTGCTTGGGACAACAGAGGCTTCGGAGATTCTCGGGGGTTTTGCAGCTCGGGGTATGACGACTCGCATTCTGGATGGACTGGGGCCCTGGCCTGCGCAATGGCACCAATGCTTGCACCTGCCACTTCGTAGTTGCTTGAGTTCTGATGGCCAACATGAGAAGACACAACGCAAACCATATCCTTCCCCTTGCAGGAGCTCCCCTTTCCCGCATAAATATTTAGAGTCTAACGGTATTTTGCCCTACGCCCGCTCCCCCATCCTCTGCCTGGCGGTGGTGCTTGCTGGATTGGTGCTTTGGGTGGGCTACGCAGTAGCCACCTCAACAACGGGCTGGTCCTGACGAAGATCGACAGTCCCGTATAGCTGTGGCAGACAGGAGCTAGAGCTTCCGACCCCGCAGCCAAGCAGTGCCAAGCAGCCCTTTTTGGCCCCAAACCGTCCTGATGGACGCCGCTTCCTCTGCCAAGACCTTCATGTGCGTGAAGGTGCTCTGGTGCCAGGGATTCTGGAAGGGATGGGCGGCCTCAGCACAAAACCAAGCACAAAACCGTCGAGCCAGAGGCGACTTCAACTTGAAGACTTGAGCCCGCGGCCAAGGACTGGCGCGTTCCTTCAAATCCTTCTCCCGTCTCACAGGCTTCCTGAGGCTCTGGAGATCTTAGGAGTTGAGCGCTGTTCAAGGTAGATTTCAAGGCTCCGGGGCTCAGGGCATCCCAAGCAATATGCTCACATTGGCTCACGTTTGCCGAACGTACTCAAAGTGCTGAGAGTGCTCCCCCATTCTCGGATTCACAGGAAACTAAAAAGCCGAAAAAAAACTCATAAACAAGCAAAGCTACGCTTAGCTACGCAAGCCTCTCGAGCCCCCGAAAGGAAGGTTTGGCCTGGTAAAGGTCGCGGATTTCGCTCAGTCGCTGCCTTGAGCAGAGCGGTGGCGTGGGGCGGTTTGGGTTTCATTAATCCCTGAATCCCCTGTTCAACCCGGAGAAATAGGTCAGTGGAACTGGCCCTAAGCAAAGAGCCGGCATGTTTTGGGCCCTCCCAAGCCCGAGCTGGTCAGATTTCATTTGCCATCTGCACTGCAGGGACCTGTCGAGGTCTCACAGCTACTTGTAAAGACCTGTCCAGCAAACTTTGGCCAAACGAAATCGGATAAACCAACTGGAAGTCAAGACCTCAAGCTGCACTAGCCCGGCCTTGCATAGAAAAGACACTCCACCACATTTCAGGACGAAACAATACAAACAAGCCAAGACGGGGCTTTCGACTCACACGAGCACAAGCCATGCTCCAGGTCAGGCCTTTAGATTAGGGCTTGGATGTCAAACATTGTCCTGAGGGTAGGGTGCAATGTCCCGAATCCCCAACTACCCTGAACACTCAACCCTGAACGCTCATGAACTTCCCGAACTCTGTGTGTCTGCTCTAAGGTTCTACCAGAAGCCGCTCGTCAACTCCAGAGGCCCAGGCAAGAACTCTTCCAAAGACCAGATTGACAGGAGGTGGCCGTGACCGCGAATGGTCATGTGCCTCACGGATTTGGGGGCGCACCCTGAGAAGCCTATGAAATCTGTTTCCACAAGGTCTAAAACTCCATGAAAACTCGAACATATGGGCTGCAGACTCATCGAGGCCCATGGCATGAGCCAGCGGGTGTTTGGCGCATCCCAGCATCCAGCGCCTCGATGCCAACTCATGATGTAAGTTCAGGGGTTCTCAAAAAGGTCCTTGAAGCGGGAACTTCAGTCGGCGCTAGGACCGTTGGGATTGCTTCTCCGTCTCTTGTGAAGCCTCCGCTGTCTTGTCTTTGCAGCATCAAGGCAAGCACCATCAAGCCTGGAGCCTGTGCCCCGAACTAAGTCCAAAGACCCCGGCCCAATGGTCCCCTGACCCTCTGAGAAGCACACTTGTCTGCCAAGTCTTGCGACGAGGTGGGCGCCGTGGGGTTCTTGAGACATTGCTGGACCTGAGGCACAAGGTCGAATTAGCATGGTCATTCTAGACACGAAACGACACGAAGCTCAGAACCCACAGCCTGAAATCCCAAGGCTGTACTGCAAACCTATTTTGCTTTTTCCGCTCTTGCCACAGCTCGAATCTCAGGTTCTACATCCTATCAAAACTGGAAAGTGTCCCGTATCCATGCGTCAGGTTTTGGGGTTGGGGGCCACAATGATAAGGCGTACGGGGTAGGGGTTAATGATTAATGCCAGTGATGTGTTTCAGCGCTTGCTAGGAGATACACATGCCTCGGTGCCATACTTCTTCCTGCACACGTACATGGCACAGTGCCGAGCAGCCATCAAGATGAGAGATGTGCAACCCTTTTCTGGGGTGTTGTCAAAAAAAAGTCAAAAGCCTGTGCACAAACATGCACCAGGCATCTCAAATCCCATAAACCATCAGAGGCTTATATAAGCTCAGCTGAAGCTTTCCGAATGCTGAGGTGGGAACCGTGTTGACTGTCTGCTGAAAGCGCGCCAAAGGCGAAGGCTTCCTTGGCAACAAGTTGCAAGACAAACTTTGGGCGCTAACTGCAGCGGGTTCGGTCCTACATGGATGAATGCACTTATCATGGTAGTCGTTGCTCTCGGCGCTGTGGGTTTCATATGGTGTCGCCAGATGTCTTGCCAGCCCGATGGTTGCTCCCTCGCCGTCGCCCTCTGGCGCTCGAGCACTCACAGACGAGCTATTGTAGAAAGCACCGCCAACTTGCTCGAGGCATGGCCAACTGACTGGATGTGCATAATATTGCATAATCAAACTCGATCCGACTTAAAGCCTCCATCGCGTCAAAATCGTGCTTGCAGCACGGCGATGAGCCGGATAAGTATCCCCCTTCCCTTCCTATCCTCGAAGTCTGAGGATTTTTCTGGGTGTTGCATGAGTCATCCTGACACCCATTGGTGGAATTGCTTCGGCATCTTCATCGATGCCATGTTCTTAAAGCGATGGGCCCAAGGTCCGCACTCCAAGCAGCAAATCACAATCTCCGGAGAGTCCTCAACTGAGCAACAGTTGAGACTAGTCCCAGTGTCACGAGTCACCCTCAGTCACCCAAAAGGCACCCAGCTGGACCGGACCGCACTGTGACTTGGACAAATTGGTGAGACTGCCCTTTGCTGCCAGCATGCATTGTTGAAGTCGAGAACATCGGTCAAGGTCTGAATCTCCTTGGTGGCATGCAATTTAGCCTTTGTAAGACGAGAACCTCATCCCCAAAGTGCGAAGCTTTGCATGGGAGCCTCAGGAGACAACAATGCTTGAAAAAAACTCGCTGCAAGGCATCTCTGATGATCAGCCGAGTATCCAGGTGCAGGTCTGCGTTGCCAAAAACCTGCCAGGAGCAGATAAGATATGTGATATTTATGATGGATGCACAACATTAAAATTAGCTAAGCCAAAAACGAAGAAGCAATACAACGAAGCCGAAACCGCGCAACAGCGTTCTAACATGTTCGACTACGTAACATGACATAGCATGACTTACTTCACATAGCACATCGTACTGGTAACAGTTTCAAGCGCCTAACACGACATGGCAGAGTCCAGCAAGAAACAAAATCCGAACTTATGCATATCGATCGTGAAATAGCGTTTGCTCCTGTTCTCTCGGTCTACTGGCCGACAGATAACTAACACATACTTGCCTTGGCTTGCGCACATTCGCAATCACAACTCAATTGCATACGTACTAACGGCATAGCGTCGCATGTGCCGAAAGACACAAAAATCACTGCATCACATTGCCTTGCATGACATTGCAGAATATAAGGCGAAATCCTGGTAAATCACACACATACCTACTTACCTACCATAACTTACCTTAGCTTGCCTTTCTCGACAATGCGTACGTCGACACAGATACACACACAACCCGCGTCGGGACCCGCGTGCGCGCGCGCACGCTCGGGGGCGCGCGTGCGCACGCACGATCACGAAAGCACGCGCGATCACGCACGCATGCGCACACACACACACAAATACAAACACAAACAGGTTTTCACCCTCTTTTGAAGGTAGTTGGACGACTTGGGTTTCAGGTGCGCACCGACCATGCAGAACACATGCGTGTAGCAGCTGCAGCAATCATGCGCAGTGCGCAGTGCGCATGGTGTCTGAGGTGCCTCCCTGGTGATCACGTTGGCTTCCTCCACAAGCGGGTGCACGTGATGCCTGAGGGAGAGTGCCGACGTGAGACGAGCAACGCTCGAGATCACGACTTTCGGATTCTTGCTGGCTTTTTGCACTGCTTCTCCGCCAAATCATGCCAAATCTGAATACCCACGCCAAGCTGGCAACTCCACCGCCAAACTCGACCCTTACGCTCACTTTGCCGCTTGTGCTCCTCCTGCTGTCGTTGTGCACGGAGCTCCAAAAGTATAAACGGGAGACTGTGGTACCGAGAGCTTGAACTAATCGACTTCGATGTCGATGTTGTTCCGACAAGCTTGCTAAGCCCACACGGCGCAATCCAACTCACAAGGCCCAGCTGCCAAACCCCAAAGTTTCCAAAGAGGGACTCAGGTTCCGTCTGGCTCAACTACTACGACCTTACCTTTTTCCAGGCGCCGGGCAGGGCACTGAGGAAGCCCCGGACTGCGGTGTCGGAAGCTCGCTTGCTGAGGTTGCTGATGAAAGAGAAGGCGCTGACCTGAGGGCAATGGACTCGGTCCTTGTGCCCCAGGCTCAGTCGCCCAAGACTTGTGTTCACTGCAGCTGCCCCTTAAACCTCTACAGTACTCTATAGCCTTCCTATGCCCTGAAGCGCCAACGGACTCTGAGGGCTTCCCAGGGCGCTGACGAGCCCACCCGAGTCCTGCGGATGGGGAGCCAGAGAATCGTCGTGTAGGGGTTTCGGGGTTTAGGGGTTTAGGGGTTTAGGGGTTTAGGGGTTTAGGGGTTTAGGGGTTTAGGGGTTTGGGGCAGGCCAGACAACTCTGGACTTGAATTTCAAGGCCTAGGGCCTGGGGCTTTGTGTTGGTTTGTTTTGTTTCTTGGGGTTTGTGTCTGGGTTTGGGGAATGGTGCTAGGGTGTGCTATTTTAACCCTAAACCCCAAACCCTCCGAAACCCTAACCCCTAGGTCTCAATCCCCGGAAGCCCGGGAACCCGAAACCCCTTAGACTCTAAACCCCAAACCCCTAAACCCTAGACCCCTAAACCCCCTAAACCCCCTAAACCCCTAAACCCCTAAGCCAAAAACCCCTTTAAGCCCCAAACCCCTTTACCCCTAAACCTTCCTTCAAACCCCAAAACCCCTCCCGCCCCCCCCCCCCCCCCCCCCCCCCACCCGCCCCCTGAACCCTAAACCCTCACCATTGGTCTTTTCTATTTCGATCTGTTTCGTGTTTGGGGGTGGTGGGGGGGGAGCCTGAGCGGGCGCTGGCACAAAGACAGGGAAGGCTTGCGACTCAAACATGGTACATTCGCCAACAGATTTCTAAACCAACGACGTCCCATTTTATGAGGACCTTGGGCCGTTCGGCGGGCGCCCTCTCGTGTCTCTGACGATCATGCTTTGAACTTGAGACGGTGGCTACGAAAGCTAGACGCACGCCAGTGGCCTTTTAGGCAGCGTGTGCATGAGCAGCTGCCGAGTTTAGGGTTCCAAGCGAGTGCCACCAAAGAAACAATCCAGTGGCGGAGCGCGTAGTGGGCTGCCAGAGGGGGTCTCCCCGCCCAGTGGCCACTAACCAACCACTGAAGGCCCACAGACAGTCGCCTTTTGAGTCCCTTTTTTGAGGAGGGACTGCAGTGCGATTTGCCCTCATAGGCGCCTTTTGAGTCCCTGAAACTTGAGATTGACGGGTAAACACCCTGCACGCTCCAAGGATTTTGCTTTCGTGACTGGAACAACACTGGAGCAGGAGAGTTCCTGCTCAAGGCAAGACGCTCACGGCCAAAGCTCTGCTGGCTTTTTTTTGTCGTCATTCCTAATTTTGTCTCTCCATGGGAGCTTGGTGGAAGAATGAAGCTCTTCAGGAATTTAGGGTTGCATCGGGATTGGGGTTGCATCGGGCTGGGATTTGGGATATTCAGGGAGCTGCCATCGCCCCTCTTTGGGGAATACTGTGCGAGCTCGAGTTGAGGGAAACACGAGGCGACCACTGCTCCTCCAATTGCTTGCCCTCTACCTCGACAGCCTCCTCAAAAGCCGAAGCCACGTCGAGCTTGGGGATCTCGGAGCGAGCTGGAGATGGAGAGGAAGGACTTGGGGTGAAGTTGAGTGGAGTGCACTTTCTGCAAGACCGGCAGGCAGGAACAACCCGTCTTTCTGTTAAGGCAATATGAGCTGTTCAGAAAGACGTCACCTTTTCCCAAACCGGCACCAGACTTGGAGCCGGGCCGTGCTGCGGGCCACTTGCAAGGACTCAGTGGTCAGTTGCTTTTGGCAAATTATCTTGTACCCCACCCCAAAAAAAAAACAACATCACTCTCTCTCTCTCTCTCTCTTTCTCTCTCATTCTCTCTCCGAGAGCCGGGCTTCCGCGGTGCCTGCCAGCTTGATCCGCTCGGGCGAGGGCTCCTCGAATTGTGAGCGATTCTGACATTCTGGGAGTGTGCAGGTGTGCGTACGCTTGATGAGTGTAGGGGGACTTCAAAAGAGCTGGCGCATCCCATTCACACCTTCAACTCTGCCAACGTGACAGGCAACAACCAACTTAAGGTTCCGCACCATCGAATCGACTCCAGCCGAGCGCGGCGCTGGTGTACAAGATACTCCGACAACTGAGAAGCCGGCCACAAGGCGGAAGGCATGCGAGTAGCCCAAGATCAAGCCTTGGTGGGCAGCGAACTGCAAAGCTTCGGAAACTGAATTTGTTGGTCTCTTCAAACTTCTTCTGGCCCATATCAGCTAAGCCTGCCGGCAGTCTCCATGGTGCATAGTCTGTGGCTTCTCGGGCCTGCCGGCTCGCGGAGAGTAGAGTGGGGGTGTATTTTCAGGAGTAGGAACCAGAAGTCCATACCTCGGGGAGGTGTGTCATGGACCAGCTGTTTCTCTTATTTGCGTTGCGACTCGGCCGCATCTAAATCATGGGTTCTTATGAAGATCTGTAGGTGTAAGACTTGCATGTATGACAAAGACATAGAGGAACAACCACCCGAAATCATGTGGAGAAAAACTTATGGCACAGACATATTTCGCTCACATTAATTTTCGTCATGCCATCCATAAAAAACCCAACTAATGACTGAGATTGTTGTGATTAGCGCTGCCCTTCACCATAACTGACATGCTCATGCAATCATATGTCTCAAAAGCGAGTGAGGTCTACCATTCTGGATCTTCGCAACATTCCTTTCACAAGTCTAGTAGGTCGAGATGGTGCGCAAGTTCTATCCAGATTAGCTTGACATGATTCTGCATGGCAATCCTGAGCTTTGCTCTGTGGTGGATGACATATGTGAATATCTCGACCACCGGAGAAGCAGATTGTATATGTCTGTATGGCGGTTGTTCTAAACTGCTTCGCGAAAAGTGCATTGTCTTCCGCGGGGCCCCATCGCGGACTGTCGCGGAGCATATCTTAGACACGTATTAGTTACTAGAGCATTAACATGATATATATATATATACACACATACATATACATACACATGTACTATTTTGTCCAAGCTTGACAGAGCGCGTGAACCGCCGTTGTTGGTGTTCTTGCAAGGCCTCTTTAGCAGCCTGCAGGGAAACTCTGGAGGAAACAATGTCTCTAAATTGGCATAATGTAAATCTTCCCTAAGTCGTAAACCCTTTTCGACCCCGAGTTAACCCTGAAACGAGGTCCACCGACCCCAACCCAAACTCGGGTGCAACCATCAATCTCTTGTGCGATTACTTGCTAAGTATATACAACACACACAAATTGTCAGTGACATGTTCTGTACGAAACAGTACTAACATAAGGCTTTGCGAAACAGTGAATGGTCTTTCGCGGGCCCCTTGGCGGGCATTCGCGGTGTTGCTGTGCTACAACTAGAGTCCTCTGGCCAGATGAGGCACGTGGCCTGAAGGATGGAAAAGTCCAAACCCTGAACCCTGAAAACGCAGAAGCGTTGAACCCAAACATAAAGCTTTCATTGATCCATGTTTCGATGGCGAACTGCTTTCCCTCGCAGCTTTCTGGTCCCTTCGATGCCGCAGCTTTCGATGGTGCCGCTTCCGGTGTTCAATGAGGCATGGCAATGATAAACTATGTTTAGTAGGCGCATTGATGTGCTCTGCCTTGTGCACGCTGAACAGATTCCAGGTGTTCTCTCCCCACACATCCCTAGGAGCGGATGGCCAGAACGGTGCTTGAGACTTTAGTTTTGAATGTTTTGAACCCGTCTCTTCTCGTCTGTTCACCCAATTTGTCTGTTGCCTTGAGCTTCTGGCTTCTGTTCGGAAAGGCTTCAGAGGCACCTGCAAGTAAAGGATTTCTAGAGCCTCCGGAGCCGCGTTCGCCGGCAGTACTTTGTAGGACATTCTTCTTAGACAGGACTTGGGAAGTCAGTTATTTGAAAACGCTAGGGGAAGGGTCGCGCCTCAGGAACTTGCCATTGAGCAGCACGCGCACGGAGCTTCCATCCTCGGACGGCAAGGCCTGGCAAGGGACCACCCTTCCGTAGATTCGCCTCGGGCTCAAACATTAGCAATGAATTTAGCAGGGTCATACGTCCTCATTATGGCCTTGCGTGTTTCGGACCGTTTTGGAAGGAAAGAATGACCCTCGGGCAAAGCGGATGGCCCTGAACTCCGCAAGCTGTTGCACAACATCCACATAAAGCTTCTCAAAATTTAAGTCGACGTCCACCGGGGTTTAGGGATTAGCAATGATTAGCTAGTCTCCCATTCCCTCAAATTGCCGCTGGAGATTTGCTGCCGCCTCCACCGTCACTTCGTTTCCCTTCAAGCAGCGCACTGCGCACATCTCAGGCCTCGGGCAGATCACGGGTGACATCCAGCGACATCCAGCGACCATAGCTGCCACACTGTGGACAGTGGTGTAATACCTCTCTACTCGAACCCACGTCGGCGAGTCTTCCTGAGAATGGCTCGTAATGCCCACGCCCACGAGTACGATGTCACAGCTTCCCTCGCAACTGCCGATGTGAATCAGCGTCTCGTCCAGGGGGAAGTTGCAGCCTCGGCCGTGACTCCAGGCGGCAGAGAAATTCCTGAACCGGTTGGTTGAACTTGCTCCTGAACCTAGTTACTAAGCTACTAGTTGAACCTGGTACTCAGACTTTGCAAGCGCTCATGCTTGTCAGCAACTTGCCCCTTGACCCGGCACGGAACAAAACACAACTGCAGAACTAAACACTGAAAGGCTCTGCACCTCGACAATGCTTCACCTTCTCCGCACCAAAAGCCTGGTGGTGCCCCGTGCTGCCTTGCTTCATGCTTAAGGCCCGTGCAACCTTGTAAGGCCGGATCATCACACAGCTTCCTCGGGCGCAGTTTCGGGACGAGCGTTCATGTGCGATCGGCTGCTTCTTAATCCGATGAAGGCTGAGATGGGGATCCGTGGCCGCATGTGCTCCTGCAACTGAAGTCTAAATGCTGTCTGAATGCCACCGCAGAGATTATTCAAATCCACAGAAGACCATCGCCCTGCGACCCAGCGGCGTCAAATACGGGTATCTCAGGGTGAACTCATCCTTGTCACTGCCCTGCCACAGCCAGCGATGACAACCACTTCCGGGCTCCAAAACAAGGGGGTTCCGGACCTGCAATGTTCCTGAAAGGCTTGCTGCTGCATAATCTGAGGGCCGAAAACCAACAAGCCTCTGCCGACTAGCCGACTCAATCTTGTGCCTAGGGTTTGGTAGCTGACGAGTGAATCCAAGCAGTTGATACCAATTCATACTCCAAAATCCTCCCCACCATTCCGCTCCGCACATCCACAAACCCTCCCGGCCTCTGACTTCACCGATTTCCCGCCGCATGACAGCGATGCCAATGATCCCGTCCTTGGTAGGTCAAGCAAGATATCTTGAGCTTCGAGGTTTAGGGGCACAGAAACATCAGGAGAGATCCTCGCTTGTGGGGGAAGGTACGACAGCCTGTGCCAAAGGCACAAGCCGCCTACCACTTTATATGTGCCTAGAATCCAGGTAGTGTACAGACTAGGTTGTTGCAAGACAATCTTTGTGCAGTGTTGAAAGACGCCCGGCTTTTTCACCTCCATTGCACCTGCTCCGTCTTCCAACCAGGCAGAGAGGCTTTTTCTGCTGGCCGCAACTGGCTGCAAGGACATGTTCCGGCATTACAAGATGAAGGGTATGAGCCCGCAGCTTCCAATACATCTACACTCTACACATCTCTACACAATAAGGCTTGCAACTTTGCGCCGTGTGAACTGTGAACCATTCGGAGTCATCTCGTCCGTATACTAGTCCTGCTGGATGATACGCACCTCGGCTGACGAAGGGGATGTCTTTGTTCCACCCCACATTCGAACATGCTTGCAATCACTTGCCAGCTTTCCCAGCAAGCATCGTATGCATCTTCCAGCGAAGCCTGAGAGACGCCCCAATGGCGAATGCCGTGCTTGGCCTGGCTTCGAAAAACAGACCCTGAGCCTAGAACCAAGCACAGTTTCAAATTCGAAGTAGCAGAGTGGCTGTGTCAAACCCATTCCGTGCGCCACAAAGATGCACGTTCGACCAAAGTCAGGCTTCGTAAGCGGCTGGGCTAGCCAAATCCAACCCAAACTCCCATCGGCTCTGGAGAAAGGGGCATGGTTTCTAGGAGTCACAAATAGTCCATCCTCAGGACCGACACAGTCGTGGACAGTGGGCCCTCAATTGATTTAAAGCAAGGTGCCTTGCCACGAGCGATATCGATAATGAGGTGGCCCAGAGCTTCCTCATCTTTGGAGAACTTGTACGTCGCCTGTCCATACCTGAGGACGGAAATTACTGAGGAAACTTAGGAGGCTTAGCACTCAGGGCTTGAGCCTGGACTGAGCAGGAAACCCCCGTTTCCTCACACCCAGCAGAAGAACACACAGTGCATCCACCCTGAGCCAAAACAGTCCTCTCAAGTACTAAGTCCGACCACGGCTAGTCCTCAAACAGCTTAATCCTCAATCAGCATCAGACATCAAGTAACCTCAACTACGAGACCCCACTACAAACCAACGAGTGCGAAACAAGGCGATGCAAAGTGCTGATAGCAAAAATAGACGTGCGCGTTCACGCCGATATCGCGGAGAGCTTTGTTAGATGGAGCTCCAAAGTCCTGCTTCATCGTAGAAATTATTCCGTTTTTCATGCTGAGATTGATCTCTTCGTAACGTGTGTGTGTACGTGACACGCCGATCTTACCCTTTCAACAAGAGGTTCCTACTGAGACTATCCGATCGGCCCAATCTGGCTCTCTCTTCCTCTTCTCCTCTTCCTCTTCTCCTCTTCCTCTCTTCCTCTTCCTCTGCGCCCCTCTCGCGAGGGAACCCGGCCACGACGTCAGTCCGGCACCTCCCTCCCGTTTTGGGTGGTCTGTTTGTTGTTTGAGACGGGTCTTTTCAATGATCCCCTTGTCGGGTGGCCACCCGAGAAAAGGCCTCTCTCTCCCTCTGTCTCGTTCTCCTTCATCGTCTTCTCTCTCCTCTCCTCTTCTCGCTTTGCTCTTCCAATGTCATAAGATAGTGTGCAACGAAGGAGGGCGGGGCCTCTGCGACTTCACAGGAGTTCTGTCCGATGGATGTAGCAGAGAAGCAACGAAGTCCTGGGCTTCCTCTTCCTGCAGGGCGACTGATGTCGCAGGGGCTCAAGCGCTCAAACTTACGGGGCAAGACATGCAAAAGGGGGGATTTTCCAATCGTCCAGCTAGTTCGAGAGCTGTTTTATGTGCACCTCAGAACGAACATCATCGACTTGTGTTCGCTCTCCCTCTCTCGCTCATTGTTTCTTTCTCTCTTTCTCTCTGTCCGTCCGCCGGTGCATCCTGACGGTCCCTGAGGGACATTGTCGTGGGGTTTTGGGGGGCATGTGGAGGCTCACGCCATGCTGACATGAGCCTCAAAAACGAATCCGCGCCACCATGTAGTACTGGCTTGTCAAAGTCCGACCCGAGAAAGCTTCTTTTAAGTTTTGGAAGCCGCAAAAACAAACACACCTTTGGAATACCTGTGACCACGTGAACCGCTGCCCCGCACTGCAAGTTCACAGGGTCCTTGGACTCCTCACTGTCAACACCTGCGACAAAATTGGTCAGGTTTCGGTACTTGTGGGTCCAGCATGAGCTTCATGAACTTCATGAAGCATCCCTTCAGCTCTGCCCTGACGATCCCCTCAAAATCCCTCAAACCTCAAGATCATCGATCCTTTGGGCCAGGGAGCTTAGCATGTAGCCTTGGCCCCACTCGTTCTTCAGAGCCTGCACCTCGTTCACGGGGCCGAAAAAAACCACTCGAACACCACGCTTTGTGCACTTCGCTGCAAAAACTGAGACAAGGCACTGATCCCTCTGCAGCGACCACACCCCTGCGCAGGATTACCTTCGCAAGCTTAGGCTCAAGTTTATGGGCTTGGGCAGATTCGGCCAGACAGAAATGGGCAGTGGGCACCTGGAAGGGCAAAAGACCCGAACGTCCTCTCGTCACTGGGGGGGGGGAGGCGATGCCATGAGGCGCTGGCGATGTGGCTGGAAAGGAACTCGGCCTCCTCCAACCTAATATTGAGGACAGGCTTAAAGACAGGGCTTTACATGTGGGCGCCATTCAAGTAGAGAAGGTGACCAGGTCAAATACCCGATGCAACCAACAACTCTCCCCAAACCGCGAAGGAACCCAAAGGGCCAAGAGTTTGGACCAGGAGCATGTGCGTGGTGAGTAGGCAGCAGCCGCCAGCCTGCTTCACCTGGCAGAAGATTTTGGGGATCATCAAAGGGAGGGTTGAGAACCAGCATGAACAAGGAAAGTATTCAGGCTTCCATGCAGATCGCCCATTTACTTCCCCGGTGCCAGGTCCGGATGTCTGCTTCGACAGCGCCGCTCTCTGCAGGTCGCTGTAGCTGAGATAATGCGGTAGAGAGTGAAAAAGCTTCAAGGCATTGCCGAATTGGGGCCTCTGATTAAGCCAGCAGTGCTCAACAGCATATAGCACCCAAGGTGTGTGAACAGGCACCCCAATCTTGAGCAAGCACTGCAGCAGGTAGCCAGTTTCAGCCACCACAGTGTAGGCTCAGTCGCTGCCCAGCGGAAGCTCACCGCAATCCGTAATCCGGATCTTGTGAGGTCTGGCTTCAAAGTCCTCCTGCGAATACAAGGCTTACTGAATACTTACTGCAGCTTACAGTTTAAGACTTCTGGCGCAAGGTCCAGCCTTGAAATATGTTGCTTCCATGTGGTCCATGTTGGGTTGCATGGGCATGGCCGAATGAGACACGACTGGGAATGCCCAGTCACCCAAGAGGCCACCCAAAGGCTCTGCATCGTTCGGCTCCAAGTCTTTTGTTGATCTCAGCACCTCCTAGGCCTCCTAGGCACAACCGAAACATGGAAACCTGAAACGTCCTCCATCTGGCTGACAATCTCCATGCCGGTGAGGACCTCGCCGAAGCAGCACCACCGCTTGTCCATGGCAGGGAACTCCTGCATAAGAAACCAATACAAACCCATGGAAAACCAATAGAAAACCAATGCGAAAACAATAAAAATCAATAGAAAACCAATGCGAAACGAATAAAAATCAATAGAAAACCAATAGAAAGCTATTAAAACCAATAGAAAACCAACTCAAACCAATAAGAACCAATAGAAAACCAATTAAAAACCAATGAAAACCAATAGAAAAACCAATTAAAACCAACAAAAGCCAACAGAAACCCAATAAAGACCAATAGAATAATTGGTTTTCTATTGGCTGTTAAAGGTTTATATTTGGTTTTCTATTTGCTTTAAATTGGTTCTCTATTGGTTTTTATTGGGTTTCGATTGGTTTTTATTGGTTTTAATTGGTTATTCTCTCTCTCTCTTCTTCTGCTTCTTCTGCTTCTTCTTCTTCTTTGTCGTCTTCTTCTTCCGCTTCCTCTGCTTCTTCTTGCGGGGCCTCTCTGTCTCTCTCTCTCTCTCTCTGTTCCTCTTTCTCGCTCTCCCTCTCGCTCTCCCTCTCCCTCTCCCTCTCCCTCTCCCTATCCCTATCCCTCTCCCTCTCCCTCTCTCTCTTCCTTCCTTCCTTCCTCTGCACGTAGCCCCCGAAGCTCGCTCTCTCTCTCTCTCTCTCTCTCTCTCTCTCCCTGCGTCTTTATTGTCGCATGCGCGAACTCGGTAAAGACACTAAACCCCTAAACTCCGAAACCAGAAGGACCCCAAGACCCCCCGCGCTAATCTGAACTGCATGGGTTGGGGTTCGAAGCTCAAGGATAAGGCTGACTCGGGCAGAGCTTGAAGCCTTGGGATTGGAAGCTCTGCCTGACTTGGGAACAAACAAAGCAAACCAAGAGGATTTGCATGTGTAGTCTCGCTTGGAGCTATCTAATTACTACCAATTCCACCCCAAGTCCTTCAGTGTGATGAAGAAGACTGATCCCTGGACGTCCTTGCAAAAGGTAGTCGACGAGATTCTACGTGCAAGGCTTCGGGGGTGCAGAGATGCCGGCTCTTTGCGCCAACCCTGCAAATACAGCAGCAAGCCGCAAGCCCAGAACTTGAAGCCCTACAGGCCGCAGACCCTGACCAGCCCAACACTTCCCGCGAGCAAGAGCTGCTGCTTCTGCAATCTGTTGGACAGCGCAACTAAGACATCAGGCAAAGCTGAGAACTTGGGCAGTGGCTACAGCCGTGGTAATTTTGCACAACTGCATCAAACCGGCGTCGATGTTTGTACCAATGTTAAGTCACACTTCGTTGCTCTTCGTGACGCCACCTGTGAAACAGCCTGGCTAGCCACATGTGACTACAGCACATGCGATGCCACTTCGTATGTGAAGATGAACAAAGTCAGTCATCTCTGGCCTGCAAAGCTTGTGCTCAAGGCTGGGGTGCCAAACCCTGACACCCTGTTCCCTTAGAGCCTCACACCCTGACACTTCTGAAGCCCACCTCTACGAAACTCCGCATCTAGAGAAGTCAGGGAACCTTGCAAATATCGCAGCTGAAGCTATATAGCTTGTTTGCTTTGGGCAGTAAGGTCTAGTTGGACAAGCTAGCTGACAACTATGTATCGCCTGCAACCCCAACGACTCTTTGTGATGTCTACCGCTCATGATTCCCAAACATGTACACAAGGTGTGAGGACGTTCATGATGGTTGTGATGATATCACAAGAATACAGACCCTAAGACACCGCCACTCGTGAGGCCTTGCCCTCGTCGCGGTCCATGGCAAGCATCCCGCGCTTCATGGCCGGGACTTTGAAGTTTTCACCCTGAATGGGGGGGGGGTGGGGACTTCGGCTTTTTGTTGGCATTCGCACTAAATAAAGTTAGGGGTTTCGAATTTTACGGTGAAGGTTTTTAAATGCCCGGACATGCAAACAGTCAAACAAGTATTTCATACTACCTCCGTAGAGCACGCCCCCCCCCCCCCCTTCCCGTCCAGCCAACCCCAGCGCTCCAACCCTCCTCTCCAGCCAACACCCCCAACCCCTCTCCCCCCTCCCCCAACCACTCCATCCAACCCTTCCAGCCAACGCCCCTCCCCCCACCCCCCCAAACCGCCACTTCAGCAGGCCAGCCAATTGTCCGCCCAGCTCCCTCCAACCCCCAGCCCTCTCCTCCAACCAACCCTAATTGTAGGGTTGGCTGGGTTTGTGCATACGATTTAGCTGGTCTTTTCTACTACCCCCACGGCTGCTGCAGGTTGGCCGCCCTCCGCTGACTTTAAAAAAGCGTCACGTTGGGTTTAGGGACTTTAGGGTTGTAGAGTTCCGGGTTCGGGGTTTCGGTACTCACACTCGCACAAGGCAGGGTTTCGCTGGTGGAAAAGGGTTTTTGGCATAGGTTTCGACTTTAACTCACAAGTTGCCGTTGACCTTGGAACCCCAACCGGCAAATGCAGTTTAAAAGAGTGTTTGGAAAATGGATCTGCGTTTCACCCTGAGGCCGGCGAAAATTTGAACAGCTGAGGGTTTTAACACCAAACGATTTTTCATTAAAACCGAAAAAACCTTGATCAAAACCTATTCTGCCCTTGTTTCCTAAAACTTCGCGAGTTCATAAACACTTAGCTGGCAAATCCAGGCTACATAGAACTGGCTGCAACTGGTTGCAACTTGAGTTATACGGCATGGCCATTTCCAAGCTAGGGCCAGCAACCCTCACGCCTGTCGATCAACCCCGGTATCAAGCTCTAGAAAGAAAATAAATGTGAAAATTGAATATATGTATACATAGCCTCACATTATTCCCCAGACTTGATTGGCAGCTGGCATCCCAGGAAACCCGCCTGGAAGGTGCCTCCTCGCATGTCACAGCCCTTCTCCCACTCCGGTCGGAAGAAAATAATCTTGGCCCCGTCGCCCTTCCTGTCAGTGAGTGTAGGGTTTGGGTTGCAAACTTAAGGTGCAGCGCAGAGTTCTGCCAACGTCCCTTCTCCCAAAGCACGACCATTCGCACCATTCTACCCTCAGACTACCACGGCTCCCCTACAGCCCCTGCAATACGGCCTCAGTCTTTGTCTTCATCCCGAACGCCAGGACATAGCTGCTTGAAAATGCAGACATCTATCGGGACGGTAATAGGTCAGAGGGAGTCATCCAGTTCAGCTTCTTCTTAGGGTCTGACCCCGGCCGCGCTGGCCAAGAGATGTTGGTCCAGTCTGGCTTACTCCATCTTGGGGTTCCCGATCCGTCCATCTCTCAATCCCTTAGATCTCTCTCACTCTCCCTTTTTTGGAAGCCATTCAACACTTTGTTTGGTACTGTAGGGTGAGGTTCTCGGACAATTGGTTCCCTGCACTGGGCACGGTGGCTTTCCTGGCACCAAGTGGCTCGAGGAGCTTCTCCATTTTCGAGCAGACCTCCGTGAGCTCGCCATCTTCGTTATCTGAGGCATGTGTGAAGGTGAATGTAGACGCAGGGCAGCAAGATTCGGTTTTGCTCGGGGCTTGAGCCATGGACGACAGCCATAGCATCATTCGGTTAATGCTTTGGATGGTTTTCGCCTGTTTGGCACCCGCCATTCGGGCTGACGCTTTTCTCGCTCTTGCTGCTACGAACCACTCGGCGGGGGCATCCGCCCTGACTAAATGTTTGGTCGCTCACTCTCGCACAAAGCCTCGCGCGGCATGCGTCAGTCGAATACCGTGTTGAGGGTGTAGGGACCTAGCGATAATCTTGGAGCGATATTACGAAGTACATTTTGCTGACAAGAGGCTGGAAGAATCGCACGCCTGCATGTGGCCGAATCCAAGGGAGGTTAACCCCATTTGCTAAACCCGCACACTCGGAAGGTTGGTTGATTTGGTTGGCGGATGTTGTGGGGCTGGCAATACAAATCTGCTCCCTGAGGTGCTTGCACCGGAGCGTCGCTTCAAACTCGTGCAGATCGGTAGAGCACTCTTTCAGCCCCCCCCCCCCCCACCCCCCCTTCCCGGAACCACAATCGGGTACAGTCCTCACGACACTGAGACCAGCGCCCCTCAAGCCCTTCATCGACATTCAAGTGAGCATGCCCCGCCACGGCGAGTCCAAAGCAGGAAGCACATACAGATCATGGCCGCTGGCCGCACTGACTGCTCTTCAGATCCTTCAAAACCTCAACGGATGCTTGTCCACACAGGCCCCTGCGGGGAAGTGGAAACACCATAAGAAGAAGCCCGAGCACTGCCCAAACTGAAGCTGAACCTAACCACCCACCTACATATTGGGCTTATCCCCGGAACCTTTTGCTCTCGACTCTCCGAAAAATTCAATCAGGG